TGCTCACCACCTCAAGCTCAACCTTGACAAGACTGAGCTGCTCTTCCTCCCGGGAAAAGATTGTCCAACTCTTGACCTGACAATCAACATCGGCACCTCAGTTGTTTCCCCGACTCAGACTGCAAGGAATCTGGGTGTGACCCTAGATAACAACCTGTCCTTCACTGCAAACATCGCTGCTACAACCCGCTGCTGCAGATACACGCTTTACAACATCAGGAAGATACGTCCCCAGCTGACTCAGAAAGCGACTCAGGTTCTGGTCCAGGCTCTCGTCATCTCACGCCTAGACTACTGTAACTCCCTCCTGGCTGGTCTACCTGCATGTGCCATCCGACCTCTGCAGCTCATCCAGAATGCAGCGGCTCGTCGTTTTATGTATATAAAATAATAAAATTCAATAACGTGCTTTGACCACCAGGTGTCCCTTTCTATCAGCTCTGCACGGTTATGGTGTAAATACAGCCTATCTACCAATTGGATCAAATATAAAAGTCAGCCGAATTAGTGTTGATACTGCAAGGAGACGCATTGTGTGAAAAGAAATGTAAGATGTTGTTTAATGGCTGATATATTTATGATCCACGTCACATCTTCAGTTTTGGCGGCAGTTCTCCTGTTTGTCCAGAAGTCTTCTCAGCAGGGAATAAATAGAGAACTACGGCAGATATGTCATATTTAATGCAGCCGAACCGTGTATTACAAAGCCGTTATGTGATGACTTTCAAAGAGAAAAGCAAGCACACTCGGAATAAAGTATTATTGTATTTTTAAAAAACGTTTTCAGATTTCACATCACATAAACACCAAATCCCAGCATGCATTGCGGATAACCATCCAATCATCGAGCTGAGGATCTTGCCTACGTCTGTTTCCGGTTTCGTTTAATGACCGATGTATTTTGTTATACACACATTCCTTCACATTTACATTTTAATGTGCATTAAAGTATTTCGTGAGGCCTTCTAACATGTTTTTAAATATAACTACGGTTGTAGTTGAATAGTTTGTAAATTAACATGAACCGAAGCTGTTGCTTGGCAACTCAATCGCACAACGTCATGTCCGTTAATTCCACATCCACACGCATGGATTAACATAGATTGAATACATTAATGTAGCCTTTGTTTATGCTAAAAGAGGTGTCGACCAGTTGGGGCAACAAGAAAATCGCTGTAATCGAGTGTGACTATTAAAAAATAAATCATTACGTCGGGGTAGCATTTCCTTGGTATTTCCGGTTATTTCTCCACTGGTTAACATGGGTTAACAATACCGTGTAGCTGTCACGTTTGAAGGGGACGAAACCGTGACATGTTCACGTCTCCCAGCATGGTAAATCGTCACATGTTCACGTCTTGCCGTGATACCGGGTTGGAAGTGACATGTACAGGGAGGACATCAAAGTGCCTGTCAAGGGCCGAACGACCCTAAAGCCACCCAAGTATAAAAACGTTGGTATGGCATGCTCTTAAATGTGATGTTTTTGATGAATGCAAGAGCTATTACAAAAGAAGGCATGTTGAAAGCTAGACAGGGATCTCACTGCTGCTCTCAGAGGATGTTCTTGCATCCAGGTGCAGAGTGAATGCATGAAAGCTGGTCGAATCAGAGTTTCTGAGCGAGTGTAAATGCAGCAGAGATACATTGGATCTGCTGGAGACTCCAAATAACCTTGTTAGAAGTTTTCTGGGATAAAATGTATTAATAACTCTGTTAGAGTCGAACAAATATATCACGGTGCCACCATGAACCGCCCGCCCCCCCCCCAGATAATGACATTTCAGTGAGCGCAGATGAAATGGGCCAATTTTCAAACTCATTACAAACTCGGTTCTGGAAAGGAATGAAGAAAGGAAGAAACAAAGGGAGAGAGAATAAAGAGTATAAGAGGAATGATAAACATTGACACCGGCCTTGTATCTGTGTGTGTGTTTTATATATGCATACCTTGTCTGTGCCTTAAGGTGTCTACGCGGATGCTTTTTGCCTGCCTGTGTGTGTTTGTGTGCGTAGAAGCAGGCTTTCTTCAGACTGGTGTGATGTGTGTGTGTCCGTGGGTTATGTATGCTTTGAACGTACCTTTTTTTTTTAAGTGTGTGTGCGCGCATCAGCTCAGCCCAAAGCCGGGCTGACAGACAGCTTCCCTCCGAGGAGCCCCTTAGTGTTTCTGATTGATCGTCATAATGCCAAGGTACAGGCCCTGTCCTTGGTGCCTATGCTAATCGCGGGCTCATGCATATTTATGAGCTCCTTGGGAATCAACCAGCTAAATAAAGGATGAGGCCGTTGGCTCCGAGCTGTGTTCATCGCTGACTCTGATTGATTGGAAAGAGAACAAATATCAGCGTGTAAAAAAACTGTTGTTTTTATTTTCTCTTCTCCTCAGCTCAGGGATCACAATGGGAGCGCGTGGCTGTTAGAAAATAAAATACAAAGTAGAGGCTCTTAAGATTCATTGGAAAAAAGTTGGTGAGAAGTTCCATCAGCATGTCATAGCTTGTATAGATCTTGAGCTTTTACTGTCGTTTTTATTAGCTGTGTTCATCAGTTAACATTGTGTTACCTAGCTTTGCCTCTAACTGATGCTGGTGATGCTTTTTGCAGATGATGTGTTTCTTATAAGAGTTTGAAGCGGCTGGAATGAGGATCCTCTAAATCTGAGGCCATGGTTCTCAGCAGGAAACCTGTTTACTCCGAGAAGGGAATGATTCCTTACCCAGAGTGAAGCAGTTGGAGTATCTCTTGGTATTGTTCTAGAGTGAGGGGACAATGGCGTGTGAGAGGGGCCAAAGAATGGTAGCAGGGGTATTGGGTTGGCAAACAGTTTTGAGCTGAGCCTTCCTTTCTACTCTCATGGTCATGGAGGGGGAACGTCATCCCAGTTACAAGCGGCTGAAATACGTGTTTTCCGGAAGGTGTCTGGATTCTCCCTTAGGGCTGAGCTGAGAAGTTCAGTCCTCTGGGAGGGACTCGAAGTAGAGCTTCTGTGTGAACAAAAGAGTCAGTTGAGGTGGTTTCGGCATCTAGTAAGGATGGGAGGAGGCCATGGGCAGACCCAGGACCAGCTGGAGGGACTGCATTTCCACGTTGGCCTGGGAGCACCCTGGAATGCCAAGGGAAGTTTGGGATCTTCTGCATGGATCTCCATGACCTGACTTTGGATGGATGGATTTATCAACTGCTTTATTTCTGTTGGTTAACAAGTTATACATTCATTATGACATGTATCTATTTTTACAACAACATTAAGCACATATCTGAATTTTGTTTGTCCATTGTATATTTAAGACCTTATATACCATCCATTTTGTATTTATAATTGTATATTAAATGTTTTATTCCTGTGGTGTTGTTTTTATATATTGCTATATAAAAGTGTTACTTGTTGAACTACAAATTTCAACAAGTTTGCAAGTTTGATTGATTTTCTCATTTTATTTTACAAGGATGACACGCTTTTGTTATCCTCCGTCATCCTTTTCTTCTACTTCCTGCTGGTAGAAACCTGAATATCTGCTCTTCATGTCAGCAGCAACAGTAACGTTTGAAACAATATTAGTCAAAGAACTTAGAACAACTCACACAGGTCCCTCAAATAAATGCATCATGTAAATATGATCAAAATAAGAGTCTGTAAAGAGAGACATGAGATCACATTGAACATTTTGGTCCCTTTATTTCATGTTAACCACATTTCAAACAACTAAACAACCAATGGTAATGGCATCACCAGATCTAAACAACACTGCTAGACAAATAATCATCAGAATAATAATTATACAAAAGAAATGTACAAATTCAGGACATAAAAAAAATCCCAAAAGAAAACAAACAAAATATATAATACAGATGAACGGCCAGGAACCAAGCCAATAAAATAAAGCCTTTTAAAATGAAAATGCTTCTGGCTTTTACATCATCTTCAATACAACACTTTTACAGTCTCTGTCGAGATAGGTCCTTTAGTGAGCCTGGTACGACTCCAGCAACAACAACAAAAATCAAGCACAGACTGAACAGTTTGCCACAAGTACGCCGGTTCTGTCCAAGACAATTAAAAGCTACGAACTTTACTAACTAAATAGATGTTCATTAGAGACCTCTGTGAAATGTGAAGTTTCATTCCAAACTGGTTTATCCATTGTGTGAAAATACTGACACATGCCGGTATAAATTGACGCCTGACATAAAGGTAATTATGGGGATACAATTAGGTATTTATCTTAGCTCACAACATTGCTTTTGTCATAAGTATCAATGATTCTTCAGTAACAGATTCACAGCCTTTCCAAAAGGATGAACACTTTACACTTGCTTGTAATTGATTTCTGACCATTACAACTAGGGATGCACGATATTGGTTTTTTGAAACCGATACCGATAACTTCCTGCTTCTCAAGACCGATACCGATAACAAAAAAATCTTTACGCCACTAATTATTTTAACGCGGTTAACGCATGTGTATTTTTTTTCCTCGGCCGCCCCGTAGTTTCAGAGCGCATCGAGTTTAAAATACCATCTACAAGCTGATGCTGACAGCCCCGCTCCTGCCGCCCGCTTGTGGCAGACCACACTTCCACGCTCACCGGCAGGCACCGACTGGCCATCTGGAGGACCGGGAGGGTGTGTGTATGTGTGGCCCGAGCGAGCGAGAGAGAGACCTTACGTGCATTGTTGTTGTTAGCATCTGGTGCTAGCTAGCTGCGCTAACGGATATACGGAGCTGTTTAAATGAAAACAGAGGAGCGACATTTCGCCACAACTGCGCCGAGCACTTGACTTTATGCAGGCAGCCAGACAGTGGGACATTGTACGAAAAGTGTGCGCAACATGATTGCAGCGTCCAGGCAGCTCCGGTTCGAGCATATGCCTTGAGTTGCGTCACAGCCAGGCATGAGTTAGGGAGCGCTGGATTTGTGAAAAACTCCCCTCTTCCTAAACCACTAATACCACAGTACTGGCAAAACGGGAGGAGCCGAGTGAAAAACAAGCGCCCCTCATCCCAATCCACCCACACCGCAGTATTTTTTCTTTTTTTTTACCCAAAAAATATATTGTATATTATCGGGGCTATTAATACTGGTATCGGGTTTATCGGGATGACGTCATAATTCCTAATATCGGACCGATAATTATCGTGCATCTCTAATTACAACCAACCGGAATATGCTTGCTCTCACACTTTGTATGAATGAGCTTTACCGCTCAATCTGACAGACGTACGGAGAGGAACCGATCTGGCGATAGTAAAACCATGCAGGGTCCGTTTGTCCAATCTGCTTAACCAAACGCTTTTCGGTCTTTGTTATGACAGTAATCGTATTGAATAAACGGCCAAAACAAAGTTCTCCTCCGGCAGAGTCAGCTGCGTCTTTCTGAAAGGTTGAAATATTTTCCACTAGAAGCACTTGGAACGGCCGCAGCTAAAACGGCAAAGGCTCAGGAAAGACATTGGGTGCCGAGCTTTTCCTCAAGGTGGCTCCTCATCATTAAAAGCAATTGATATATAGACGTCGGCGCTCAGAAAAACTCGCTATGTGGACACATGGATCGAAAAACAAAAAAAGGGAGTGTATCTTTAAAATGAGCTTTTCCATTCATTGTATACATTTTCTAAATGGACAAAAGAGGAACACATGTGATCAGATGAGGAGCGAAGGGCAAGCTGAGGTCAGCGTTACATCCTGTATGATTCTCATTAACTGCAACACTTCAAAGCATGTCAGCCATGTTGACCTTCTTCACATAGGGGTCAATCGTCAACAGAAATCATTTCCTATTATACTGACGAGGTAATTTGGCAAATACATTTTCAAACACACCTCAATGGGCTTATCCAAAAGCAAATGTGAGGCTTTGGATGCAGAGGAAAAGTGAATGTGACCCGGCTCTTATTGTCTTTGTTGTCATTCTATTGATACTGTAGATGGCAGGCTAGGTGACGGTCTGATTTCTAAGCTTCTGTTTTTCTGAAAATAACCCGGAATGTAGTACATCACAAAGAAGTCATGGGTAATGGATCTGATTTCATTCAAGGACACTTAACAAGTCTATCATTTTAATTAGCACGGTTAACGTTTCTACTGCAGTCATGTCAAATTTGCTTTCCCGAAGGTATTTCAAAGATCAGTTTTGTCTGATAGCAATATATATTTGATAAATGTGTGCAAAGATGTTATGATTTCTTGCCTTTTGCTTCCACCCAGATTAATGCTGTTAAACTAAGCTGCTTCAGGTCATTTAAAAAACAAATGGGCACAAATGTGAAAATAAACCCCATTGAAAAAAGAAAACATATTTTTCACGGCCCGGGTAATATAATCAAAAGCTACAAAACACAGCTCTAACGTTATAAAGCTACAAGCTACTGCACACTCTTTGATTGATTGCTTTTGCCTGCCTGCAGTTCAGCAGGGACGGACAGGGTTAGGGTAATCTGATTTCATTTAATAACTCATCCCAGTTTGTTCAATGTCCTTTCGGCATTTCAAAGTCAAATAAAACAAAACAAAGTCAAATAAGTTAAATGTTCTTTAGTTTTACATCTGGAACGATTGAATGCATTTTGAGTGTTTGACTACTTAATGAAACAAAACATCATTGCTTCCTTATCGTAAGTCACAGATGTGGGCGGCGGTTTAATGTGCAATATGCAAAAATATATATATCTTCATTTTTTAAACAATATGTGTCTAATTGGACTGTTTTTTAAGTAACGTTGTTCCAAACTATAATACCAAGTCGCTGAAAATGATAATGTTTGGAAATGATAACCTTTGTTTGTGTCTGGCGCATGATGTTTGTTTGTTTGTTTGTTTGACTGTGGTTGTCTTATCTTATTTACAGCAAGGGGGATGCACACTATAAGATAAAGCCATCCAAAAACATGAATGAAACCTTTTTTTTTTCTTTTTCATAAAGCCCCAATGTAAAAATCTGTAGCAGAAACAACAAAATATAATCTTAAAGGCAAAATAATTTTTTTCCTTTTGTCTGTGTAATGCCAATGCTCCTCTCCACCATGCACCGGACTTCACTCACTATATCTTGTTCAATGCTACTTCTTCCTGTTTTTACTAGTAATTACAATCACCTCTTTCCTTGAAAAGCAACAATTTAAAAAAGGCATACTTCCTTGAGCAAGAATGTCGGCAAATACTGAGAATTGTTCCAACCAATTACTGACTTACAAGTATGCTTAGCACTTAACATTGATGCAGTGAAGTGGTCCTGGCAACAAGGACATGTGATTTCAAAGAACAGTGGTCTCTTGTTTTTTGCTTTATCACGCTTCTACGTTGGCCGACAGGTGCAAACGCGCTACAACGCCCCAAAACACTAACAGGAGGAGAAACTGTCACTGGAAACTCATCTAAAATGTAAGTTGTATCTGCTTATTTTAACAATGTGATCGCATGATTCCTTTTGATATTATTTCTGATCTGCTGGAAGCTAGCTAGCAAACGTTGTTTTGTCAGAGCCAGAGAAGTGCAATTCAAAATCTGGCTCCAGTCCAGCAGGTGGAGACAGGGAGCCTAGGGTCTGTGATTCCACTGAGGATGTGGCTCAAAGGAAGAGAGGAGAGGAGAGGAGAGGAGAGGAGAGGAGAGGAGAGGAGGAGAGGAGAGGAGAGGAGAGGAGAGGAGAGGAGAGGAGAGGAGAGGAGAGGAGAGGAGGAGAGGAGAGGAGGAGAGGAGAGGAGTATGTATGTATGAATGTATTTATCTGTTTGAACCATGTTTGATTAGATGAATGATCATTTCTAGTCTTATGAGGTAAGAAGCTAAAACATAAGATGCTGGAATATAATTGACTTTGTTGAGATGCATTTACTTTTGATTAAATGTTAAGTTTAATTGTAACTTGATTATGGAGCAGAAATGAAAGTGCTTGTTAAAGGATGGCATGTTTTTCATTGAAATGTTTATTTGCCTAAAGTGAATGAAAGTATGTTTTGTGTTTTCAACCTATGTGATGCATCAGGAGGCCAACAAGAGGCTGAATGAAGCAAAAAGGAATCTGCAATCACTCAAATAAAGAGGAAAGATTCAGTTATCTTTTTGGAGTGAATCAAGCCATTTCCAAGTTTAGGCAGGAGTCAATCTATCAAACCACAACGTGACAAACGTAGCTAACCTAGTCATTTCAGATATACCGATAACACTTCTGAAACATGCTAACTCTGCCACATTCGATAAAGCTCCAGTCCAAGCTGTGCACATCACTTTTTAGGTTTCCGTTTTGTTTTGAGCTTCTTGCAACAGCCTTTTATTTATGCAGGGCTTTTATTGAATGGTGCAAAGTTCATGTGTTACAGCACATTTGTGTTTTTATATTTGCTTTTTTAAATGCAGCACGTTTCTTCTAATGTAATTATTGTGGGCCGTTGTAGCGCGTTGCCCTGAAGGCCACCATAGATTCGTAACCTTTGGTCAACATCTCAGCAAAACAAGCTTCATTTTATACTCTGGGCTATATTTTGCCCAGAGTCCAAAAAGCAGGTTTGATGCATCTCTTCACTTGAAGCTAAAAGTAAAAATCTTCCAGCGTGCATCCAGCCTTCAGGGAGACAACACTCAAGGCGTAGAATATATCTAAAAAGGAAATACTGTACAATAGTCACATCACAGCCCAGCAGAGAGGACAGAGAGATAGAGAAGGAAAAGTGGTGCTTTTTTTTAAACATCTTGTTTTCTTTTTTAACATATCATTTTTTCTGTTTTCTTTGTACAAGCATGTAAAGTTCAGTCTCGCTGAAGCGAACACACACACGAAAATCACCAGTGTGTGTCTGTCGCTTTTTGCTCTTCTGTACAGGTTGTGTGTGTGTGTGTTGTCATAGGCACACACATAGATGCACACACTCAAATGTGCAAGCATGCCCTCTCTTATTCACACAGAATCACGTGCACAAACTCTCAAACACACACACACACACACACACACACACACAGGCACACATGCTCACAGGTCGGGTTGGGTCAACACAAAGCAGTCACTCTGTGTGTCACGTTGAGAGTGATGGTCAGCGTCAACGGTGAATCAGAAAAGAGGATTTCAGCCCACAGCCAATCAGAAGGAGCTGAGCGCCTCCAGAGCCACTTCATAGCAGAACTTATACTGCTCCTGTGGAGGGGACGGAAAGAAAAGGTAAATCATCTGCTGAATGATATCTGTTATTTTTACACAAGCGCAACCAAATATTAAAAACTATTTATTAAGTTTATTACATTTTAAACATCCTAAATGTAACTTACTCCGGGCATGATATTGTAAATAGTTCTTCAGAATCAGAAAACCTTTATTCCTCCCACAGTGGGATGATTTACATTGTTGCAGTTATACATTGAGACATTTCTTATATACATACTTGGTATGTCCCAACATGTGCTTTGCTAAAAAAACAAGGCAGTATGGGTAAAGGAAAACATGCCTTTTTGTATGTCTTTGTGATAAAGTTGTATTAAAAGTAAGCATAGGACACCAAACCAACTGAGACCCGTCTGTCCGCCGCATCTACACACACACTGTACCCACCACACACCCTACACACTGTACCACACACACACCTACACACTGTACCACACACACACACCTACACACTGTACCACACACACCTACACACTGTACCACACACACACCTACACACTGTACCACACACACCTACACACTGTACCACACACACCTACACACTGTACCACACACACCTACACACTGTACCACACACACACCTACACACTGTACCACACACCACACTGTACCACACACACACCTACACACTGTACCACACACACACCTACACACTGTACCACACACACCACACTGTACCACACACACCTACACACTGTCCCACACACACACTGTACCACACACACACTGTACCCACACACACCCCTACACACTGTACCACACACACCTACACACTGTACCCTACACACTGTACCACACACACCTACACACTGTACCACACACACACCTACACACTGTACCACACGCACCTACACACTGTACCCTACACACTGTACCACACACACCTACACACTGTACCACACCACACCTACACACTGTACCACACACACACCTACACACTGTACCACACGCACCTACACACTGTACCACACACACCTACACACTGTACCCTACACACTGTCCCACACACACACCTACACACTGTACCACACACACACCTACACACTGTACCATACGCACCTACACACTGTACCACACGCACCTACACACTGTACCACACACACCTACACACTGTACCCTACACACTGTACCACACACACCTACACACTGTACCCTACACACTGTACCACACACACCTACACACTGTACCACACACCTACACACTGTACCACACACCTACACACTGTACCACACACCTACAGTACACACTGTACCACACACACTGTACCACACGCACCTACACACTGTACCACGCACCTACACACTGTACCACACACACTGTACCACACGCACCTACACACTGTACCACACACACTGTACCACACGCACCTGCACACTGTACCACACACACCTACACACTGTACCACACCACACTGTACCACACACACCTACACACTGTACCACACACACCTACACACTGTACCACACGCACCTACACGCTGTACCACACACACCTACACACTGTACCACACACACCTACCACACACCTACACACTGTACCACACACACTGTACCACACGCACCTACACACTGTACCACACACACCTACACACTGTACCACACGCACCTACACTCTGGACCACACACACCTAACACGCTACACACACTGTACACACACCTACACACTGTACCACACACCTACACACTGTACCACACACACCTACAGCTCCTAAAGCATAATCAGGCTACAGCCGTTGTGTATTTTATTATGTGAAGCACTAAATGGTCTTACAAATAATCGACTCTTTGTTTGTATCTTACTAAACTACAGCATACAAATACAGAGAGTAATGTAGGCCTGTTATACTGAGTGATATATATTATCCATTTCCGGGTCACTACCGGAGGACCGAGGAGGGGAAATTAGAGAATTGAGAAGCCTTCCTTCTCTGCAGGGCTGCTAAGTGACAGGGGGCGTGGCTGGTATTCTCGTGGCTGCAGATGAGGCACACCTGTTCCCACTCGACTAATCAACCTTCTCTCTAAGAGCCTGGCTCTCACCTCACTTCTCTGCCAGGGAATGAAATGCTGTTCGACGATCCAGAGTGCCTCTCTGCAGCCCAAGCCTAGTTTTGTTCACTTTGCAGTTTTTGAGCAACTTTTTGAGTTTTTGCCTGGGACGTTTTCTCTCTGCTTTGTTTTTGGACCTTTCTGCAACCAGACAGCTCCCTGTCTTCAGTACCTGCCTTGGCCTAGCTTTCTTTATTAAAACACTGAAACTTAACTTGTGTCAGTCTCTGCTTTGGGGTCCTAAGTAGTATCCAAATGCCACATTTGATTTATATAGCGCTTTTCCTGCTGCTCAAAGCGCTTGAAGTGTGTGTGTTTGTGTGCTTTGTGTGCTTGTTAGTGTGTGTTGTGAGTCCTCACCATAGTCTCCACCATGTTGGTCTTGTTGTTCCTCAGTGTTTTGACGGTGTGGAAAACATCCACGATGTTCTGCTGCTGGATCATCTCGTTGATGCTGCAGATGGCACAGAACGTTCCGGAACGCCCTCCGCCCGTACTGCAGAGGAGGGGGGGGGAGGTGAGAGTTAGAAAGGATACAAAATGTCATCATCAAACAACTACACTGTTATTCTGCAAACCTAGGTATGCTCACCAAAATTAGTGCTATTGTGCCATCGTTAAAAAAGGTGAAACACAAAGAGACTATAAAGGTTGAATGGAAGACGGAACAGAAAAGAGAGAATGTAAAAAATGGCTTCAGTCCTTTTAAAGCAGCATGTGCTGGAGTCAGAAAGGTTCACTGCCTTCTTTTACCGAATAGCGGGGCCTCTTATCGCCCCAGGAGACCTTATTAACATTACATTACTTGTTAGACGCTTTTATCCAAAGCGACTTGCATACTCAATACTGTGGACAATCCACACAGGAGCAATTTGGAGTGAAGTGTCTCAGGGACACGACGACATGCTAACTGCCGTGGGGTTTGAACCTGTTGACCCCCCTGATCCGAACAGCAACGCACATCCCACTGCACCACACGCCTCCATTTTAAAATGTGTTGATTCAGAAATGTTATGTTTCGATCATTTCATTTTCCCATCCCTCAGACGTATCCACTGATACTGCTGATCTGCGGCTACTGTGTTCAGTTTAATTGGGTCAACGTTTCAAAAATGCTCCTAAAACCTACGAACCCTAAAGTATAAAACCTTCAAAGGGTTTTTATAAGACATAATAAAACAAGTAATTGGAAGGGACTTTTATGTGTGAAGTGAGTGCTTTTGCATAGTAGGCCCAGGTTTATGTAGGAGGAATGCTTTGTCAAATAAAAAATAAAAATTCTATTGAAACAGCAGGAAAGATTCACGGCTTTTGTAGTAAAATGCAAATATTCTGATTGGTCTATTGCTAATTTGAGTCCAAATCACAATTTGTTTCGAATGAGTAAAGACGTGTTCTGTAAAGTCAAATTTAAGATGTATATATTTTTTTTAAATGCTAACCCAACTTCGAACCCCAAAAAGTGATAGCTTTGAATTGAATATTGAGAAATGTTTCACCTCAAGTTAGAGTATTTTAGATATTATACAAAGGAGCATTTGCTGGAATGGACCGCAATGCAGTGACGCAAACATAGGCATTTGAGCCTGTATAAACGGGTCTACTGTAAATGTAAATGTACAGTAAGTGTTTACCACTGTATGTGGGCCAATCAGCAGACAACCACACACTATACAAAAAAAAAAACACTCCAGACTTCCTGTCCCACCTGGCTCCAGCCGAATTCCTTTAATATTCAGATTGAATACAATATGAAGGTACTGAGAGGTGGAGTGGCCTCTCTGAATAAGTAATACACTGCTACAACTTTCTCTCCAACCAGCCTTGATGGTGTCAGATTAGTGGTCAATTTTCCAGATTATAGTAATCGTTTCATTTGCTGAAGGCCTATAATTAGGGGGACCTATCATGCAAAATGCACTTTTGTACGTCTTTAAAAATGAATATGTGTCCCCGGTGTTCCAGGGAACTCACCAAGTGTCAGAAAACACAACCCTCTCTCTTTTCCTCCATACCCAAATCTCTAAAAACAGGGGTACAACGGAGCAGATCCAGATTTGCGTCCGAAATGACGTCATATCGGAAAAGTGGACTGTGACGCTCCGCCTACATGGCCAACGCTCCACCTATCATGGGAATGAGAGGTTGGGCCACCGCCCAACTGCTCTCCACAATGATCAATAACAGCGAACGGATGGTCAAAGTAAGGTACAAATAAACAGAATCACACGAAGCCTGGTTAGTGTTGCCTGACTTTAGAAAGTGTGTGGTTGCGTTCTAGTCACTTTGCTCAGCGCTACTGCTTGTCACAACTTTCATTTGCCGTACTCTCCTTTAACTGTTAGCTCAGGTTAATCTCGCCCCCCTCCGACATAAGCGTGACATATGCGGTTCTTGCTTCTAGACCGACAATTTTTCGGAGCTTGAAACGAACCGGATTCCGGAGCTTAGAATGTACAGGAAAAAACTGTGCTTTTCAGGCTCCAGCTCCGAACTGGCCCTGGAACCACGTTGGTGTGAAAGCCCCAGAACAGGGCTAAAACAGAGGGATATGAGGGATTTCTAAAATGCATGATCTGATCGGTATTTTGAGCAAAACACTTCATAGACATGTTTTTTATATATTTGTATTCATCTGAGACCAATGCTATTGCCTAAAAATAGCATGATAGGTCTCCTTTAATGATTTAAAGACCTCCAACCCTTACATAATCAAGGTCAACACTCGAGTGGTACTGAGAATCAAGAACACTTTATTTGTAGCCTTTATTTATCCAGGTAAAAATCCCATTGAGATCAACAATCTATTTTACAAGGGAGACCTGCCACTGAATTATTTTCACACTTTCTTTAGAAATGTACACGATATGTTTTGTCAGCTTATTCATCTCTGGTATCTGAAGTGTCCACAAGTGAGCCTTTTCAATGGAAACAAGACCATCTCATCAGGAAACTGCAACTGAAGCCCATGTCAATCTCTATTGAGACATGTCATACATTTACTACTATCTTTAACTTTGCATGTATCATCCTCAAGCTAGTTCCGGGTGATCCACTTGCTACTGTTTGTATGTACAAAGAGTTTTAAATGGATCTTACGGTATGTATATCATTGACTTGTGACTTGGCTGCCTTCTAGGCGCCATTGTAAAAAAGATTTGATCTTAATTGGTTTTATCTGGTTGTACACATATTAAATGGATGATATTTGAAATACATGTTCAGAACTAAATTGTGTTCTGTACCATAGACAAAGCTGGGGAAGGGGATAGGTGCCACATTTGAAAATGGTTTGAAATCTGTCCAAAACAGATTAATTTTATTAATTAAAGTCAGAATTCTGTGAAAAAAAGTCTGAATCTCACAAAATCTACAAATTCTGATAATTCTCAATCCTGACTTTAATCTTAGAATGATGGCTTTATTCTCAGAATTTGTTTATGAAATGCTTGGAACTGCATAAAGTAAAATATGAACTGCTACATGCACAATATTTTTCTTATTGTCCTCTATCTAAAATACATATCATTCGCATTCAAAAACACACAGACAGATGGCTATGTTAAGTGTGTTGCTCCTTACGATGCTGTACTCTTACGCTGTGATTTGCTTGAAAATGAGACATGTGCTCAGCATTCAAGACCCGTCAAACTCCCCCCTCCCAGGAAAAGTGAGGAGCGAAAGAAAATCAATTTTCACCAGCTACTGATTGAACCATCATGTTTCCCCTTATCTGTGGTATTACTGAGTCTGTGAAATCAATACGTGGGGCTGATTAGCCAGTCTTTAACCACAGGCTAGGAAAGCTGCATCCCTGAACTGGGGTCAGAAGAGGGAAGGGCGTTTTACAACCAAATACCTACGCTTTCATTTACCTTTCAGTATTTGAATTCCAGATTATTCTTTCAGTAATATATATATATATATATATATATATATATATATATATATATATATATAAATAATCATCATTTTCTAATAAAAAGAAAAAATGTATTTGTGTTTAATTTCATTTTTTTTTTTAAATGTTAATCATAGTGCAACAAATGATAAAGGTTGGGAAAAGCCAAAATGAGATGAAAACATTTACAGGAAGTGACAGTTGGGAACCTAACTGTCACTGCAAAAAAGTGTGATGTTTACTGATGGATTTAAGGAATTTGACTGCATTTGTCACCTTAAATGAGAGTATTTTAGACTTCATGCAGAGGATGATCATCCAGTAAACAAGTGTTCTTGTTTCAAATGTGCTGCAGTGATGCAAACTAAATATATTTGTTCTTTATGTATATATACTCCTATATATAGATATATATATATCTATATATATTGTGCATTTACTGGCTATGTGGTGTACCCACTATAAGAGAAAAACCAATCAACCCAGACTTGCCAGTCTCACCTGGCTCCAATCAAATGCCTTTAATTTTCATACTGAATAAAACATTGAGGTACAGAGAGGTGGAGTGGACGCCAACACAAAATATATCCACCCCTTCCGCATAAGTTATACCAGGACTTTCCATTTGAAATGATGAATGATGATGTATACATTTTAAGCAGTAAGCCCATGAAAGCAATGAGTATTGATTTAAGCTCTGGGTCAAAGGTGTATTATGCATCAGTGTCACTATTCAAGTGCCATTGAGACACAAGGGATTTGACCATTGATTCAGTATGTAAACATTCATAGTTGAGTTAAGATGCACCAGTTATTTGATTTCTTACTTTACTTGATGTGGCCTAAAATGTATAAAAAGCTATACAGCTATAAATCGCGTATTTGGGAATTACATTTTTTACGCTTTTCTTTGACAATGTAGTGTCTCTACTGTGACATGTCTCCATGCTTTCATGTTCAAAAAGCTCTTTATTTTTCTCATACTGCCTGTGCTGCAGCACCTCTTTTCACCCTCTGTCTGAAACCAGAGCCCAGTCTGCTCTGATTGGTTAGCTGGCCAGCTCTGTTGTGATTGGTCAACTGCTTAGAGATGTCCCGCCCCTTAGCCTATCACCTACAATGTGTTGGAGCGCTAGCCAATAGAAGCACAATTGTTACAGTGATATCACTATGTTACATAAGTAAACAAAAGAAGTCCAATTGTGGGAGAGAAACTCCCTCTGGAGGGAACTGGGATTTTAGTCTTTGCAGACCATTTATATGCACACAAACCTATAACACACTACAGGGAAGGGAAAACCCCAAACGGCATAATATGGTCTCTTTAAACTCTCTCTTTCAGACAGAGATAGAAGACACACTGAAATTAAAAAATCTCCCAGCAGCTTGAAAATACAAATCAATGCCAATGCTGATTGGCCCAATGAGCTATGACAGAGGAAGCTGATTGGATCAGGACCAGTGATGCGCCTCAGGCAATCTTTGGAGTGTGTGTGCTTGGGCGTAAGTGTGTGTGTGTGTTATTGTAAGTGAAGTTCCCTGTAATACCTTGTTTATAGATTTTACAGCCTCTGTTTCCCTCCCTCATTATCAGCTTCATTTGTTGTGCTAAGATAGGGACTATTTGTTGTGTACCTGTTAGTGCTGTAGCGACGCGTCGACGATGTCGACTTCAAAATATCGTCGACGACATATTTCCGCGTCGACGCGTCGCTACACACACGTGGGTCACCCAAAGCAACAAGCAGTTCGCAATCGCACTTCAAACACAATGGAGACTGAAACGGCTACCACCTCCTCCTCACAGGATTGCGCACGAAGCCCCCAAACGAAAACATCTCGCCCTAGGTCTTCAAAAGCATGGGAATATTTTAAAGTTAGTCCAAAACGCAAAGATATTTATATCTCACTGAGACTGCTGCATAGCCTAGCAGAAGCAGCAGCTAGCTGTGGTGGCTACCATTAGCAGCTAGCATTTGCTCTCCAATTTTTACATAAAATGGAATTATGGATTATAAATTCAATCATTTTTTTATACATAGACGTTAAAAACCTATGGATTAACCGATTCAGCCGCGTTTTTTCTCATTTTAATGCCATTGAACCATAGCATTGAACACGTCTTTTGATCAGATTGACAGCTACGGTGGTGAGACGATCTCCCTAGAAGCTCTGTAAAGGTACGTGTTGTTGTGACTGTATTTGCTTCCCCTGTCGCGAGTCCGGATCACTCAGTGATGATACTATATACCTACATAATCTGTGGAGTCTCAGCTTTAATCGGATATATTGTATGTGCAGCTACGATAAGTAATAAGGGTACTTTTATCTTGAGTTCTGTGCCAATGTCCGTTAGCATTTTTCGCTCAGGGGTCATTTAGATGCTTCTTATGAGACTTGTGTTTTGTTTTGGTAAACATGGTTTGTATCGTCAGTTAGCTGAGATTATTTCCGTTAATCTGGTATAACACATTAATAGGTTCTTAAATATTAAGATCCCCTGAGACACAGTATCGTGAAAACATTTTTTTTTACATTACGTTTTTTTTTACATTACGTTTTTTATGAATTGAACAACAGAAAAATAATCGTTAGATTAGTCGACTAATCGATCAAATAATCGCCCGATTAATCGTTTTCAAAATAATCGTTTCCCCCCAGCACTAGTACCTGTCATATTTACACCCATGCAAAGGTTGTTTTAAACATATATTTGTTATTGCTACCATTAGAAACCACCTTGGGACTGTACTATTGTTTATATATAATAGGAAAATATGAAACATAACTACATTTACCATGGCGAAACATGTGAAATGATCAGGTGAAATGTTGCCGATAGAGGTTAACATTGTGAAAAGGACCCCATTTCTGAAAATCAGTTCTATTTTCATAACAATGTGATGAAATCATGATGAAATACTAATAATGCCAGTGTAAATATTGTATATGCTGTAAAATATGTGTACAATCAAGTTTTCTCAAAGAAATCTAACAATGTTATTCATTTACTATTACTTTTACTTTATTACTCGTTTTATTTGTAGCTTACTAAAAAAGGAAGTAATATAAAGCCTCGCGGATAAATCACAAAGACAAAAAATATATAAACAAGATTGACACTTGAAACATATGAATTATGAACCTTTTTGCATGGCAGTTATGCATTATGCTCCTTTGTTGTAGTGCACTTCAGATCTACCACAACTCAGATAAATGTTGAGTTAAGGCCATTTGTATGTTTGACAGATCAGCGGGGGACAATACAGCATTAAAGAATGATCCAACAAAGAAGAATGGTTCAGTCTAGATATACCTTGTGTGTGTGTGTGTGTGTGTGTGTGTGTGTGTGTGTGTGTGTGTGTGTGCATGTGTGAAGTGAACATTTGTTTTGTCTTACTGTAAAATGCGTTTGTGTGTTATTTTATAGAATGTGTATTTCATCATTGTTAAGCGTATCTCAACATATTTCACCTTTCTATGTCACACACACACACACACACACACACACACACACACACACACACACACACACACACACACACACACACACACACACACACACACACACACACACACACACACACAAAACAGGCAACACATCCATAAAAAAACAAGGGCACATTTGTCTCTCTACGATTTGGTGTTGATCAATCATCAAAGTCCTTCTTTCACCTGCTTCCTATTATTTTATTACAAGTTATGGAGTATGTGCATCCATGTGTGTGTGTGTGTATGTATGTGTGTGTGTGTGTTGAACTTACAGGCAATGCACCACCGTCCTGCCGTCTCCTCCATCATACTGCTCTTGCCACTTTGCCAGCCTTCTCACCAATTGGAGGATGGAGCGTTTGGAGAGAGGCGTGTCCCTGTAGGCCGGCCAGCCAATGAACTGAAAGTGCTGCACCAGGCGGTAACCGTCCTGAGGCTGGAGAGAGGTGGGGAGATTAGGGTTCTAGCTGTGAACCACACAACTCCCACTGTGTTAGCCAATTAGTTCTTCTTTCTGCCATTTGAAAAGAACGACATCTAGACTGAACAAAGAAGACGTCTTAAATGTGTAATTACATTTCATGGCAGACAAAATGTTTTCAGTTGTCTGGCCTCGAGGTGGTTGGCATCCACCACCCAAAAAAACAAAACCCGCCATCATGTCAGACTGATTTACCGGTAGGATGTGATATTTACACACTCAAACAGATAGAGCTGTATCAGTTTCCTCTCTTCCCTTCCTTCTCTACCTTTATCCTTTTACTTCCTCTTACTCTACACTTTCTACGTCTCCCCTTCTAATCAATTCCTACTTTTGTTTCACTTTACTCTATTTTTCCTTCACCCAATTTCCTCCTTCGGCGCATTCACTCACTCTACTTTCCTTCCCTTCCTGACTGTTACTTTATACATTTCCCTCTCTCAAAGCTTGTTGCCGTCATGCTCTCTCTAACTCTCCCTCCTCATTGATGGCTTAGCGGTTGGGGGTACAGACTGGGTGATGTGGTAGCTGCTCTCACTGTGTGAGAAGTGCTGTTGTGGCGATGATATGAGCCATTTCACACTAAACTGGTGATGTGTTTGAGAGGGGGAGAGAGGGAATATAGAGGAGAGTAGGGTAGTGGGGAGTTCACTAAGCGCTATAGGAGCATGCAGACGATGGGGCACTGCGAGTTGTACCGTCATGGATGGGTGAGGCAATGAGATGAGAAGGGAGTAACAAGAGGAGGCAAGAGGGGCAGAAAGAGAAGGAAAAGGGAAGCTGAGAGGAGAAGTGAGGGAAGGGGAAGCAGAGGTGAGAAAAGACAAGAGGAGAGGACAGTTTATTTGAAATGTTCTGTTGTATTGCACCACTTCCTACCGCACTGCCGTTTTCTCTAGAGTTCCCCCTAAACTAAGACTGTTGCTACAGTGTGTTCGCGTTGTGGTCGGTTTGCTACGGCATCATCTAGCCGGCTGCTCATGGGGAAGTAAAGGTCACATAAAATGAAAAATGTCTTTTAAGTGTTGTTATATTTTGTTCCTCAGTGTATCACTTCACTATCTATTGTTATATGTCAGATATAGGTCAGGAAATACATCATTTTGAGGGTTTTTATCTTAAGCATAGGCAGTTTAAGGCAGAAAATAAGGGAGAACAGAAGAGAGGGTCAGAGATAACTGCAGGCTTTGACTAGAGCTGGTTGCAGTTACAGAAAGGTCTTTTGCCCAAAATGTGATTAAGAAGAATACATTTCTTGATTAATTAATTCAGAACATGTTCCAGGATCGATTGAGGACTTCTTAAGACAAGGATAGCAATAAAAAAAAAATGCTGCTTATTGTTCATTTAATTCTTCATTTCTGACCTTAGAAATGGCAAAAAAGTTTGCTCTCCAAAAGAACCATGTGTGGTCTCTAAGTCATTGTTTAAGCCTGCTGCTGGATTAACGTTAGGTTAGGGTTGGAGTTAATGCTAAAAAAGAACGAGTTAGTACCCTGGCCATGTTGCAGATCCTGAAGATTCGGTTGATGATGTCTTCATCAATGTCTGCCGATATGAATTCCACTTGAATGGGACCGTAGCAACATGAGCTCTTTTCTGGCCAGTACTGCATACATAACTAGAAAACAGAGAAAAAAAGAGAAATAATTGTAAAGAGAAAGATTGAGTAAAAAAGGAACATTTACCAGGTATATTGAACACTTTTTCCATTCAAAAAGCATAACAGTACAAGTAATAATTGGAAACACAATTTTTCAAGAAACCTTGAATTACTTCTCATCATTGATTGTGAAGATTGTCACCTCTGTGGATGGATGTGAGTTCAATTTCAAATGATGTATACTTCCACACAAAGGACTGACAAATGATTCCTTGTGGAATTAGATATTCTATGCAGAATACAAATGTTGTTGTTTGTTTAACAAGGTTTCATTTACTGGTGTTCAGTTTAAAATCCCAAACCAATTTACGATCACCACTGGGGGAGATAAGGTAACTCAATCTCCTTGGTTAGAATATACAAATAGCTGCTCAATGAAATCACCATGAATACAAATACTTTGTAAAAGAAAATGTGACGATTAGATATCACTTCCCCAGTTGTTAAGTTACAGTGTGGCAACATTATTCTTTCGATGTTTTGGTGAATATTTGTGAAATCTATGGACACTTATTATAAGTGGTTATTTGTTTGTAATTGGTTTGGTAGAAAACTTTAACTGAACCCTTCTTAGTTGGCAGAGTATAATTCCAAGGACCTTAAATAGCATTTCAAATTCATAAAAATAGTCTTGGGGTGTATTGATCAGGCCGCCGTGCAACAGTCAATGTGTCAGCTCCTGGCTGAACAGTCTTCTCTGAAAGCAGTGAAAAACAGACAGGAAAAGGCCTTCATGAGTATCTGTGTGTGCGTGTTTGTGTGTTTCTACCTGCGCTGCATCCATCTCATTGAGCATTACGATGGATGAGCAATTATAATCGAACACCAGCCTCCAGAAGTCGCCCATGGTGTTTGGCAAAGGATGCTGGGTAACAATGAAGGCCGCTGGCTGTTTGTGGCTCTGTAGTGATGAGAATGAACACACATGAATAACTCAGACAAGTGAACAGAGCAATGCTCATATATCGAGGCATCTCTGCAGCAGTAAAAGATGAAACTATGATTATAAATGACACACACATTCACATCGGAGAACGTACACTTACGTCCATTAACGCAGCGTTGATGTAATTGGAGCTCTCTCCGTCCACAGATATGAGGAAAGGCAGGCATCGGTCTGCTGATAGAACGTCCATACTGCGGTTCTTGTCGTGGTTCCTGGGTAGCAAGCCAACACTGCAGTCCTCTGGACGCACTCTGGGGGTCACGATGTTCAGAGTCTGATGGACAGGAAATATGTAGATTAGTCCTACTTTAACATTTCCATAAAAAAAACATAGTATGCAGATTGAGTAATACTAGTTTTACATCCTCAGGCCAAAATTCAGATTGACCAGAACTTGTGTATGTGTATTTGGAACAACCATCGCCTACTACTACCATACCACATTGAATTTGAACAACAAATCCAACAGGGACTTAAATGGAGGAAGAAGACCACCAGGAGAAAGTCATTTTTGGACCAAATCGATTCATTAACAATCCAAGATTCATAGCTGGCATTGTTGCTACTGACGGAAAGACCAGGCTCATCCCCGTGATGGAGGTTGAAGATTTCAAGTTGACTAAGTGGTCAACAATGGACGATTCGACTCATCGACTTACAGGGACCATCCCCCAAAATAACATTAAGAATACTTACAAATGTACCTGTTTGCCAGGCTGACAACCGGCTCAATACCAATGTGATAAAACAACTAAACATCTTGTTTTTATGTCATGGGAACATTAACGCTGAGGTCTCTGATTAATTCCTGGTAGTCCAGTCCTTACTTACAACCAAAACCAGAGTGCAGTGTTTTTCCTGCTCCGCCCCCCCCCCCCCACACACACACACACAAATACATACTCACAATCAGAGACAAGAGCGGAGGAAAGGAGGAGAACAACAAAGTGTACAAAAGTCAAACAAATCTGCATTATGGCCCCGAGCTCTGCTGTCTGCCCGTTTGTGTCCCCCCAGTTTCAAATTTGTTTATTATTATTTTGTAACCTGCCGTTATCGTCACGGAGGAGAAGGACCAACCCAGTCTCACGGCATTTCGTGTTCACCAACACGATTTTTAATCTATTGATTCGTGTTCACCAACACGATTTGCCCCTTTTTTTCGTGTTGCACAGCACGATTTTAAAAGCAATGTATTTCTACTGCCTGCAGCACGTCTTTTTCTCCGGTCGGGTCGTGGGAGACCGGAATCTGTGTGGTTCATAAAAACATGTTCTTACTCAATATCAAGCCACAATTATTGCTTTTATTTTAAATCGTATAATTTCGGACTTTTGTTGCCGTCTGTGAGGAAAATAAATGGGGCTCAGAGCCTCAGAATACGGAAATCTGTATTTTAAAAAAAAAAATGTCCTTCTAATTTGTTATTCTTTTCAAAATAACACACTGTTATTTACTCACCAATAACACACAATTATCCTTGCTTTTATTTATTGGTTTAATTCCATAATCTCTGGCTTTTTTGGCGTCCGTCAGGAACTGAATTTCAAAATAAAAATAACCGGAAACAGACGTAGGCCTATAAGGGACATTTCGAGCATCATTGCGATTGTCAACATTTCTGAGTTTAGGATGGCCGAAGACACTACACTACCCATAATCCCCAGCTATCGTTTAGGACTACAGTCCCCGTAAGGTTACGCAGAGCGTCAAACAGCTGTGTGAAATGGAACGAAACCACGCCAGACTATCCAAAACTGGAATCGAACGCCCCCCCAGAACTACACATGCTGGCTATTGTGTTTCGCAAAATGTTCTATGGGACGTCTCTACTGAACGTTTTCGTTTTCCCCACAATTAGAAGTTGCCAGTATTAAACACATTGGTGTTATCAAATGTAAAACATATAATTAATAAATGGGTGAAAATCGCTTGTGTCCATAATGCGCAGCATTAATACCCACATGACAGCTCATTGTTACTTTGTAATTCTACTCCACTACAATTCAGAGGTTAACCTGGTATTTTTACTCCACTACACTTATTTGAGTTACTTTGCAGATTCTGATTAATTATGTGAAATATAAACAACCCTTAAAGCAGACTTTAGTTACACCTGAGTAAAATTCAGGTAAGGTGATTGTCAAGTGCCAACAATCAGGAGAGATATTTGATAGTTGGTGCTTGAGAAGACTAAACATGTATCTGCAATTGACATGAATGGAAACGAGTAATAAAGTATATTCATTACTCGTTATTCTCTACTAATAGTTAATTAAAGACTGTATATTATGGCTATTTTGCACATCCCTTTCAAGATTTTCAAAGGTTTATTGACATCATCATATACACAACTACGGTGTAGTTATGCAATTAATGAAACACTTGGGTCACAGGTTCCTCAACAGTGCATTACAAGACATCTATCAATATGTGTGTACCTCCACCATTAAACTGTCATATTCTGCACATTTCTTATTCTATCTACATACATAAGAGTATAATTCATATGTATAATATCAGTTAAAATAAGTGCTTCAACATAGTTAACATTGCAGGAAAGCAATATATTAGATGTTAAGTACTTTGTCAGGCTTAATATTTATCTGTAGATAGATACCCCCAAAGTTTTTTTCTTATTTAAAGAAGACCTTAATCTGTTATTTAATGTTTAAATAAAGGTTAATTCGTTTTTCTGTTTTGCACCTCCTCCTATTAATATCTTTGTACATTCTGCACTAAACTGTTTTATTGTAGAGATCACTTATAGTATCTTCTTGATTTTTTATATTCTATATTTATACTTTCCCCCTATGAAAGTATGTACTCTTAATATTTTTTTAATCAAATAAAACACAATAATCAATAACGTCCTTTAACCACTAGGAGGTGCACACAAGGTACACACAGCCATAATAACTTTGTATTATTAGTGTAGGACACTTATGTTTTCGTACAACATCTGAAGATGTGTAGTTTTATGCATGCTTTCACATAATTTTACAGCATATTGCTATACTATTTCCGACTCAGTATTTACATTCTTACATTCAAAGAAAATCAGTAATATCTTTAAAAACTACAGTCCTTTCATATCAGCTGTGCACCGTTATGGTGTAAATATAACCTATCTGTGAATTAGATCAAATGTAAAAGTCAGCCGAATTAGTGTTGATACTGCAAGGAGACGTATTGTGTGAAGAGAAATTTAAGATGTTGTTTAATTGTTGAATATATTTATGATCCACGTCAAGTATTCAGTTTCGGCGGCATTTTCTCAGTTTTTCCAAAGGTCTTCTCATCAGGGCTCTATATAAATAAAGAACTACGGCAGATCTGTAATATACAATGCAGCCGAACCGTGTATTACAATGACGTTATGTGATGACTTTCAAAGAGAAAAGCAAGAGCGCTCGGAATTAAGTATTATTTTATTCTTTTTAAATGTTTTCCGGATTTCATATATTATAAACACCAAATCCCAGCATGCATTGCGGCTAAAACATCCAATAAGCGAGCTTAAAACCATAGCTGAGGATCTTGGGTAATCGCTCGAAACGCCTACGTCTGTTTCCGGTTATTTTTATTTTGAAATTCAGTTCCTGACGGACGCCAAAAAAGCCCGAGATTATGGAATTAAACCAATAAATAAAAGCAAGGATAATTGTGTGTTATTGGTGAGTAAATAACAGTGTGTTATTTTGAAAAGAATAACAAATTAGAAGGATAAAAAGATTAAAAAAATACAGATTTCAGTATCCTGAGGCTCTGAGCCCCATTTATTTTCCTCACAGACGGCAACAAAAGTCAGAAATTATACGATTTAAAATACAAGCAATAACTGTGGCTTGATATTGAGTAAGAACATGTTTTTATGAACCACACAGCTTCCGGTCTTCCTCGACCCGACCAGAGAAAAAGACGTGCTGCAGGCAGTAGAAATACATTGCTTTTAAAATCGTGCTGTACAACACGAAAAAAAGTGGCAAATCGTGTTGGTGAACACGAATCAATATATTAAAAATCGTGTTGGTGAACACGAAATGCCGTGAGACTGGGTTGGAAGGACACACACAGCCTGCCCAGGTGGACGCGCGCGAACGCGACAACGAACGTAGCGTGCGCATTCACAGATGGTGAGCAGGTACCGCGGTTTTGAACTACAGTATTGAATTTGACAGAAAACAACAATGAAATGCCAGCAGAAGAATAGTCTAATGAGTTGGGTGAAAAAAAAGACAGGAGATGTGAGTTGGTTTATTCAGTAAATTAGCTCAGGATAATTGGATGTTCTGTCTACACCTGTTGATGTGAGGCTAATGCAGGATTTGCTAGCTTGATGCTACCGTCATTTAGCGGCAGTGACTCAACAAATTGCCTCTTAAAATGTATCGTCAGCAATGTATGATAAGCAGACTGCTTGTTTAATGTTAGACTCACACCAATAGCTCAATATGATCATAACACGATTGCTTTCATATCAGAGATCAGATGATGTGGAGCTGCCTCCAGCAGTAGAGGATGAGGCAGAGAGAAGCAGCAGCAGCAGCAGCAGCAGCAGCAACACGGGTTGCAGCTGGTATGTTATATGCTGTAGTCAGGTGATTTAAATGTATCAATGTAAGGAAGAAGTGTAGGCTACATGATAAGAAGGGAATACAGTTTGAATACAAGTAATAGGCCTACAGTACGAAGTAACACTGTACTTTATTACTTTTTAATGTGAAAATACTTTGTTACTGTACGATATCAATAACAATAATCCACAGCTCCTCTCTCTGCTCCAGAGGATAAAAAAAAATCAAAATCCAAAAAGAAAATGTGGGGCACCCTGCCAAGGCAGTAACCCTAGGGGAAACACTGGAGTGTGAGTGAATGTGTGTTCTTACCTGGAACTCATCTTTCATCTGGCTGGAGTTGGTCTGTGGGTCCAGTCTGCTGATGTTGTAGTAAATGGCTCTGAACTCACATACTGGTATGGCTGTATTCCCACATAGACACGCCTCCAAGATGGCATCATGAACGAACACGTACTGCTCCTGCAACAGGAGTCACAGCAGTTTGAGTAAAGAAGTGCTCGAGTCAATGTTTCTTTCAAGGTAAAAACGGACAAATATCTGGCCTTTCTGAGTAGACAGAGGATTGACTGTAGTTTCTCTGAATGGCTGCTAGTATTGACACCTTGGGGATAGAGGAAGCTGCATTTGCTTCCTTTCAAGTCTCCGACAAAGTCCACTGTTTTTTTTTGCTTTGTTTGTGTGTGTGTGAATGAATTACTACGTGTAATTATGCTCTCTCGACAGCCTGAAAGTGAATTAAAAGGGAGAAGTGCCCTGCAGTGTTTCTGTGCTTTGGATCAAGTGTGCTCTTTGTGCTCCAACTAGCTCACTGATAAAAGCATTTAGCCACGGTGAGCTCAGCCACTGTGCATGTTAAATACCTCTATCTCTCACACTATCCTTCCATTTTGTCTAGATTTTGATCACTTTTCATTTCTCTTCCCCCCCTTTTTTTCTCTTATTTTCTCTCACCCTTGTGTTAGTCTGCTGTCTCTCGCTTTTTCAATTAGCTTTTTTGCCTCACACATCGGTCTCTCGCTCTGTTGAATGTTAATTGCTGCCCTTGGAGCGGGGAGGAGAGTTTAAAAGCATCATGAAATGTGCTCTCCTGGCCATTACCTACTCTAGTGACATACACACACACACCACACCCACCGACTGAAGCACTCATTCACACACACACACACACACACACACACACACACACACACACACACACACACACAAATATCTAGCACACACACACACACACACACACACACACACACACACACACACACACACACACACACACACACACACACAAAGATCTAGCACTCACACAAAGATCTAGCACTCACACACAAGTAGAAATACCACGGTGTAGGAATACTCTGTTACAAATTCAAATCCTGCATTACGTTCAAGTAAAAGTACAAACGTATAAGCATCAAGATATACTTAAAGTACCAAAAGAAAAAGTACTCATTCTGCAGATTGGTCCATTTTTAGAATAATATAAATTATTATGTTTTGCATGAAAGTGTTCTCAAAGCTGGTAAGGTGCAGCTAGTGTTAATGACTTTGTATAGTGCAGTGCAGGGTAGCTTGTGGATTTACTCCAGGTGGAACTAAAGTCTGATTTGGTTATATTTCACATCATTCATCCACATCTGCAAAGTAACTAAAGGTATTATATAAATGTTGGAGTATAAGTGACAACAAATGTAAATATTCAATTAAAGTACAAGTATCTCAAAACTGTAGTTAAGTACACAACTTTATTACATGTTCATAGTTACTTAACACCACTGTTAACAATACACACACAGACCTTAGTGTGTCAGAAGGACTAAATAATGTCTGTTCATTTTATGATTTGTTTGGGGGGACAGTAGCTTTAAATGAACATTATGGACAGAGGCAGCAGGGATGTGTCAAAAATATGGTTAACTATGACAAGTATGGAGGTGAGGTGCAAGAGTCAAATTAATTGATAATAAATATAGGTGATGGAAATGGAGTTGAAGCGAAACATTCATTTTCAAGGGTTTCGATTAGCTGGAAGCTGATTTAATTAAAACAGTGGTGATATGATGAAAACAGAGCCGTGTTGCATCATTTTCACCTGTCTTTCATTCACAACAAAACATTACCATCCATCATTTAGGCAGGGTGGCCTCACGGGTGGGAGTAACACATTATAATTGAAAAATTATGATTCAAGTGCTTACAAATGAAAATGGAAGGGATAAAATGTATGTGAATAAAAAAATAGTAAGATCACCTTGATTGACATTTTAAACGGTGGGGTTACGTTCATTACTCACATCATTTATCTGAAGCTTTTAAATCACTGTTGATGGCCATGTATTCATTGAAGCTGTTTTATTAAAATCAGATTTTGATTATTGTGTATTTATTATGTATCACTATATTTTTTAATTTAACTGCATTTTTCATAGTAACAAAAATAATGTGATGGTTCTTACTCTCAAGAGCCAACTCAAAACCCACCATTTTTTTCTTTTTTTTAAAATTTATTCTAGGATTTTATTCAACATACGTTTATTGACTTTTGTTGTTATGATGTGTTTTTATTCATCATAAAGTTAGATGTTGCTGCATGAACTGGGAGGGGGATTAAAATTGCTTTTATTTTATTTTAGGTTTGTGTTGCACTTTGACTTGCCTTTTGTTTCTGGAAAGTGCTATACAAATAAAGATTGATTGATAGATAGTTAGAGTAATAGTTGTTGTAGCACTAGTAATATTTGGACGTGGTGTGTTCTGTGTGCTGCAGTTATCTGGTGGAGATCAGTGCCAGGAAGACTCTCCTGCTGGGTGGATGTCGGCACACCTGTGTGAAAGGATACATGCAGCCACACTGCTGCCCACAGCACTGGGGACCCCTGTTCGAATGTTAATTGTTGCCCTTGGAGCGGAGACGAGAGTTTAAAAGCATCATGTAATGTGCTCTCCTGGCCATTACCTACTCTAGTGACACACACACACGCATACAAAACACCACCAAACCCACAGACTGAAGCACTCATTCATTCACACACACACACACACACACACACACACACACACACACACACACACACACACACACACACACACACACACACACACACACACAAAACTAGCTTTTTAATCACGATGTCATGTAAAAACACTCAAATTGATGCCCTAGATAACGTTTAACCTAGCACTTTGAAAACCCATTGCAAAGTCAATTTCAGTCGTTAAACTTGAGCTGTCACTTTCAAAATTAGGTTGTTTTTTCTTCATTCCTGGTAAAGTTGACTTTTTGGATGTGCACGGTTTTCATCAGTTGAACAAATGGAATGCAGGGGCGGGATGGATTAGGTGGTCTTAAGGTGGCTTAGAGATGAAATGAAGGCTTCTGTTCCAGATGAAACACCTAACATTTGAAGATGCACACTCTTTAACAATTGATTCATAATACAAAATTAGAACAAATTATTACGCCGTGTAATTGATAGTAAGTATCACTAAAGCCTCAGCTCATTAAAAGGGAGAACTTTATCGGGAATAGACTATTTTAATATTACTTGTTGAATGACTTTGTTTATGTTTGTGTGTGTGTGTGAGTGTGTGTGTTTGCACAAGTGTCATATGCTTATAATTCAAGGAATGTTTAATATTCATAGGCTGATAGAGATGGATGATATAAGACCACAAGAAGTACTCTGTCTCTCATTACATGTGTCTCATACTCCACCTCCACTGGCCGACAGACAAACAGACAGCTGGATAGATTGGCGGGTATGTATATGTGGGTGTAAAAGAGATATTGATAATGTAGCTTATCGCTGTAGAATTATGCTTCCAGTCAATATTTATAAAATTCTCATGACTTGGATTTTGGATGACCCCACAGTATTGAGTGTATGTAAGTCGCCTTGGGGAAAAGCGTCTAACAAGTGACATGTAATGTAAGACTTCTTCCTAATTGAACTGAATGTGTCCGTATTCTTCAAAAATACATAACCCTTCATTCTGAGCACACCGACCTCTGTCTGCACCATGTTGACTCGTTGTGATCTCAGCTCTCGGATGCAGTTGAAGATGTCCACCACGCCTTCATTCTCTGCCATGTCCAACATGATGTCCACTGCAATGAAGCAGCCTGTCCTCCCTGCACCGGCACTACAGGGACAAATAAACAACCAGGTTATTACCAATCTATTAAATATATTTTTTGGTCTGAACCCTATGCTGTTAGGTGTTACTTATGACAACAAATTATAATAATAATAACCAAAATTATAATTAAAAAAATACAAATAATAATACAAAGATAAGATATGATGTACTTTATTGATCCCAATTTGGGAAATAAAAACATTATGTTTATAGCATTATTCAAAATAAGGTTACAACGTGCTTCCCAAAAATATTATGTATATTAGAAAAAGAAGAGTAGGTAACAATAATGAACAATGAATGAATGGGCAGGTAGATACATAACAGCACATAGGAAAAATAGAGCAACACAAAAGTGTAATGTTAGGTTGGAAAAAATCCCTTTCCTACACAAATGAATGACAAATGTCACAGTTCCATATTAGGTGTCATTTTCAGGACACACTACTACCATAAAACTTCAATGATTCTCTCCCAGAAAAAACAAACTGATGGCTTTTGTGAAGCCTGAAATACACAGCGAGTTTTGAGTATGAGGGTGGAGTGTCTCTCAGGCGATGTTTACACGAGAACGAAACGGGTTGTATGTGCTACTTTTCTCTCACGTATCTCTCACGTTCATTCACACAAGGCCGTAACGGAAACGCGGAAACGGACCCCGCAAACGATAACGGGTCCCAAGGTGGACAGATCTGCAAACGGAACAGTCTGGGGGGCCAAACGGCTCCGTGTGTATGCCCTATACCAGGGGTGGCCAACCTGCGGCTCTCGAGCCGCATGCGGCTCTTTGTCTAGTTTCATGCGGCTCTTCAGTTCATATCGAATTTTATAGGTCTCTATATGACAGGTCTCTCTTGAAAATGAGACCTTGTGTCTCAATGAGATCTACACCTGTATAAATAAAGGCTAAATAATATGTGTGAGTTTGGGGGAGAGACACTGACTCCTGACTAGTGTTGCACGGTGTACCGATACTTGAAAGGTACCGCGATACCCTGCCGTTAAAAACGTTACGATTCCTCCGTTTCATTAGTATCGGTACTTTAAGAATGACGGGGGAAAGTACTCCGGTGAGAAAGCGCCGTTTAATAAGAGCCATGTGTGTTCAGCGCTCTGCTTCCATTCCCTGCACGCTCTAAAGTGCCTCCCCTCTTTCGTGCACGCGCTAGCTGCTAGAGCATGTGAGAAAGCGAGAAGCATGGCTGCAAGTGGGAGTGCAACTGCCGCAGCGCCTCGGCTTGTTGACAAAAAAGACGCCAGAAGCTAAATTTAGAAGTATTTTAGCTATATCTCTGACAGTGAGGGCAAGCCTACGGACACCACGAGGCCTGTCTGTAAGACATTTATTAATTTGATTTAATACGAATTATTGTCATTTATTTTATTTATTGTTCTCATTGTTTAAAAGTTTGTGTTATGGTTCTGGTGTGAAATAAAGCACAATAATTACATTTAAGACCGTTTCCCTTTTTTTAAGAAAAGTATCGAAAAATAATCGGAATCGCAATTCTTGACTTGGTATCAAAACCAAAATGTTGGTATCGTGACAACACTAGCTAATCCTGACAGTTAAACCTGATATTTAGTAGGTCTGTTAAGTATTGAATGCTGATAATTCTGACGTAATTTAGCCGGTCAAAGTTGTTTGGGCTCGGATAAAATCGCTCCGTTACTTTCGTCCCGTGTTATGTATGTTGTGTATGTGTGGTGTCAGTATGAGAGGATGACAGCGCGTATAATTTTGATGTGGCCCAAGAGCAGTGGCGATTCTAGAACATTTTACATGGGGTGGCAAAGGGGGGACAAGAGGTCATGCCAGGGTGGCATGGGAGGGCGGACAGTACGTGGTATTTTACACTGTATGTAACCTATTTATTGTTAATTCATGCCCTAACACAAGTGTTCTTAATGCACAAGAGAAACAAGGTGTTCAGACAAACAATCGGGTGCCCTTTGAGTCCCCCAAGCTTACCTCAACCATTTTAAATGAAAGGAAACTACAAAATGTATTTTAAAGCAATTAATTAATGGAACAGGTTGTTTTGCATTACAAAAAATGTGTTGTCTTAGTATTAGACAGACATATTTGCATGTGCTCACTAACATTATTACATATTAATTTAATATTAAACAAATCAAAATGGCCAATTATTCCAAAATGTTGCTGCTAATATAATCATATGCTTGTCAACTTTAACTGATCAAAAATAAATTCTGAAAAAATACTTGAATTATCTATGAAATTGCAATATTGTCCCTCAGTTTGTTTCAACCCCGTCACGCCATACCATTTACCCTCCTATTAAAATAATGGATCAGTCCATGTGTGATCTGCATTGAGGGAATTACATCACAAAAATGTCAGTTTCTTCTCTTACCTATATTTCAGTTTTTGTATTTTCAGATTAAGATTGACATGCTCAACATTTCAACTATGTTGTATGAATTAATAATAGTAAATAATTGTTTATTACAAAATAAACAATAGTTTTGCAAAATATTACAATGTTGTAATGTCCTTGATTTCCATGTGGTGCCATATCTTAGCTAAACAAGGTATCATGGCTACTTTTTGTCAAAAACTTCAACCCTGTTAAATGTTTTCAAGGAAATTCCTAGTAATTATTTATATTTTGTGCCTGAGGTGGGAAAATGTAAGTAGTCCACTACCAGATGTTATGACCAAACATTTTGGTTTCATTTTTCAAAGATATAAAGACCCAAAAGGCACCCGATTCAGAGAATACTCAGAATTCTGCATAATGTAATTACTTTATAATTAGTTATAATTAAGTACACAAATAACATGACCCATCTCTTCAGAGAGCTACAGGTGACCTGTGCAGCAACACATTTCAATCAATAATTGTCAATACTAAGAGCTGCTAGATTGTGCTGCTGTAATGGAATATGTAAGGAGAATAAGAACATACCATGTGGTCCAGCTGGAGTTTCATCTGCCTCCTGATCCCTGCCTCTGGCCCTCTTTCTGATACTTCATCTTTATTCCTCACATATATTTCTTCTTCTTCACTAATGTCTTCATCTCCTCCTCTTCCTCCTGCTCTGACCCTCCTGGTCTCTTCAGTGAACTCTCTTTTCCTTTTCCTCTTTCTGTTCGTCCTGATCTCTTCTCAGATATGTATTTTTGTTGTTGTAGAATCACTCCTATAATCTGGCCTGCAAGAGTCTACTTGTGAAAAGCACGGGTACAAATGCTTGTATAACTTTACACGTTAGGGCCATGTAGCCTAGCTAATAAGTAGCATATCATCAGAAAGTATTTATCAAACGCACAAAGGCAGCTGTGTTTAGATCCAGTTTTTACGGTAAAGGATGTATCCTGGTTTCATTGATCTGGCCTCATTGCTGTGATGTGTAGTTTACGTGGATTTAATAGTAGGCTACCGCATAGTTTAGCAAAATGATCGATCTCCCAGCTAACGCTGTCTGCGTAGTATTTTGTAACGTAACGCCCCAAACAGCGCCCGTCTGTTAAACGCTATCGATTCAAACGGCAGCGTTTTATTAATATTTAGTTTCAAGCTCTCGTCCTTAGTAAAAACAAAACTAATAGAAGGGGAAATGCTCCCAGGGAAGCTGATCCATAGGTGCTGGGACAGCTCGCTCCCTCTCTGCAGCTCTGTGAGCCGCGGTCTGTGTGAACGCCGCTCCGCAGTTTAATGCAGGGCCGTAGCTGCGTTTTTAACGGGCCTAAAATGATATTTAAAATGATTCACTTTTAACTAATGTAATGCTTGTTTTGTTGCTTGAGAAGCTTGTGGAAATAGTGCAGGTTTGTTTTAGTACAGTTTTAGGGAAACACAAGTTAGGGGGGCAGCTGGGGGGCAAGGCTCTACAGTGGGGGGGAAGCTTCCCCCCCTTTCCCCCCCGTAGATCCGCCCCTGCCCAAGAGCCAATCACAATAATACCTGCGATGCAGTGAACCAATCACCTTTGAGGGGGGGGAAACCTATCGTTGATTAAACATTATCCAGTGTTTCCCCTATCATTGTCTTGGAGGGGCGCTGCGCCCCGTCAACGGAGCCCCGCGCCCCCCCCTGAAATTCAAGGTGTTTAAAAAATATATATAATTTAAAAAAATATATATATATATAGCACCAAATTGCAAATAATCTATAACTACTGTCACTTTTCACATTGAACATGTGCTCTTTTATTAAATAAACTAAACGCTTTCATTTTAAGTTGTGAGTTTAGTGTTTTTGACCCTAAGAAACACTGATGCATTAATCAATAACAATAATCCACAGCTCCTCTCTCTGCTCCAGAGGATTTAAAAAATATATATCCCAATGCCACAAAAATGCATCAGTGACGTGGTTGAAATCTTGTTTCCAGAAAACAAAAAACTGAAACAAGCGGTATCAGTGACTGTGTGTTTGATGTGGCTCTTTGCAGTAACATAGAACAATGTGGCTCTTAACCTCTGACTGGTTCGCCACCCCTGCCCTATACCATCATTCCCTGATAACGATGAAGCCATAGCCCCGCCTCTCCCCACCTCTGCTGCTCACTGCTGTAGCATGGTCAGTAGCTACTGCTACTGCTACTGACCATGCTACTGATGTTAGTGCAACATCTACAGCTCCTCTACCACAACCATCAGCAACAAGTGGACATGGAGAACTACATGAACTACATGTTGCTAAATCCACCGCGGGGCATAAATGGCAACCATGCTCAGGGGTCTTCTTCGCTGCCTTTTGTGGCAGAAGTACAGCGCCACTTACAGGCCCGGCATATGTACTACAGCGTTTCCAGTGGTCTCGTGTGAACGGACACGTTAAATGAGCTGAATGCGTGTGAACGGAAGACTTTTTTGATAACGAATTCAGTCCGTTTGCGCTCCCGTGCAAATGGGGTCTCACTCTGTCTCACTCGCACACTCACACAAACATGGAGAGACTTTAATACCCCATGTCAGGTGTTAAAGTGGCACATCCTGAACAGTAATGCCTGCAGGGAATAGACGGAGGGAGGGACAGAAGAACAGATGGAGGGATGGAACCAGCAAGCGAGAGACACAGGGAGAGAAAGAGGGGAGAGCTTGGTGATTGGGAGTGATAGAAGTGGTCGTCAGAGGGGAGAGATCAAGGGGGGAAATAATGGAGGGATGGAGCTGAAGGGGTGAGGTATGAAAGGATGCAGAGAGGGAGGGGAGGAACCTATCTTTCTCTTGGCAATCCCCCTGACAGTTCCCTGAGACAGCTCCAGAGTGAGGGAGAAAGAGAGGGAAAGAAGGCAAGATGGAGGGAGAGAAAGAAAGGAACGCCTCTGCAGATTACCTGTCACCCCTGTGATTAATGTCGATACCAGAATACTGCTGGGCCTCGGTGTGTGTGTGCATGTGTGTATGTGTGTGTTTGACAGCCTCATGACACAGGCCAACAGCGTCAGAGTGCCCCCGGAAATTGGAAGTGACTGCCACAAGTTCCTGCCTGTCTGTCCACATACTACAGCTGTTTCTTTCTGTTTTTTTGCCCGCTGTTGTCTTCCACTAAGTGTGTATGTACACTTGTTTTTTCTCTAATAGCCTGTTGGTCTTTGTGCCTGTTTCTTTCCGTACTGTTAGAGGAAGTAGATATCATGAGTGTGTGTATTTTAATTAATTGTTAATGAGCCAATTTTTTTAAGTAAGCCTCTTTATTACTTTACTTTTAAAGAGGCAAGGCAAGTTTATTTATATAGCACTTTTCAACACAAGGCAATTCAAAGTGCTTTACAAAAAATGAAAGACATTAAGAAAATGGCATTTAAAATCAGTCATTAAAAAGAAAAGCTAATAAAAGAAACATTAAAAGAAAAAATACATGGATAAAAGTTACAGTGATAAAAGTTACAGTGCAGTCTAAGATATGAATAGTTCAATTAAAAGCAGCGACAAAAAGAAAAGTCTTCAGCCTGGATTTAAAAGTAGTCAGAGTTGCAGCGGACCTGCAGGTTTCTGGGAGTTTGTTCCAGATATTTGGAGCATAATAACTGAACGCTGCTTTTCCATGTTTAGTTCTGACTCTGGGGACAGAAAGCTGATCAGTCCCTGAAGACCTGAGAGATCTGGATGGTTCATAATTTAGCAGGAGGTCAGAAATGTATTTTGGGGCTAAACCATTCAAAGCTTTATAAACCAGCAGCAGTATTTTGAAATCTATTCTTTGACACACAGGAAGCCAGTGTAAAGACTTCAGAACAGGAGTGATGTGATCCAGAGGCGCTATTATGCTCATTTTCAGCTTCATATCAGTATGTAGTCTCTCTACTGTGACATGTCTCCATGCTTTAATGTTCAAAAAGCTCTTTGTTCTTCCCGTACTGCCTGTGCTGCAGCACCTCTTTTCACCCTCTGTCTGAAACCAGAGCCCAGTCTGCTCTGTTGTGATTGGTGTCCCAACCCTTAGCACAAACAAAGCGTTGGAGCGCTAGCTAAAAGAGGTGCAAGCACTACATAGTGATGTCACTATGGGTTTAAGCTTTTGCAGACCATTTACATGCACACAAACACACACTACAGGAAAGGGAAAACCCAATAAAGCATAATGTGGCCTCTTTACTGGCTTTTATTCCCTATCTCACATAAAGCACTATTTTATTGTATTATTTATCCTCTTTATTATATTGTATCTTGCATTGTTGGAGGAGCCTGGGATTTAACATTTTCATTGCCAACAAAGCCTTTGAATCTTGCATCTTGAACAAAGGTGTTTTGTAAAAAAAAACTCCAACGCATAACTCAATATAATAAATGGTGTATCATTTCGTGGTTTGTGTTATATTTTCAACATTCGTTTTGTTGAACCATTACAGCAATTTTTCAATATCTTGGACAAGTGGTTTTATTTGAATTAGCGGTTCATAAACTGGGGGTTGTTCAGTTTTTACTTAGTCGCTGGGGAATAGATAAACCTGCCAAAATGCTGCAGAGAGGGGCATTTATTATTTTATGAATTGTGTTTATACAATAAACATTTGGAAGGTGCATGCTGCAGTGTCAACTTCATTTTACTTTAAAAATAACAAATTCCTTTTCTATTTGTCTCTGTAAGATGTCACATATTAAAGTTGCAGTTATATATAAATTCCAGACATGTTTTAATAATTTCCATTGGAGTTGCATGCAACGGATTTGTCTAAGAGTGTGTAATGTGAGTGCATGAACAAGGGGGGTTTTAACATATTTGTATAGGTCTTTTTAAAACATGTCCTCAGGGAGGGTAAGGGTATATGGTATTATTCTCAATGTAATGTAACAGAAAGACAACAAGTAAAATGTAAGCGTGTAAATAAATGGCTCAGTTGATGCCCTTTGTGTTGCCATTGGCAGCAACACGCGGAAGAAGCCTGTTTAAATTCTACTTGACTGTATGAGGGCCTTTTGCCTCTAAGACGCACTCCCCAGAGTAGGTTAGGGGTGTATTCCCTCTGTGGCCACCCATTCAAAGCTATGCCTTGTATTAAAGTGGACCGCTAAATGGAATACATTCATTGTAAATGTTCACGCCGATATGAGGCTCCTACTCCAAACCGTTTTTCATAGCTTGTCAGAGCGCTGACCTTTTAAAGCCTGTGCCTGCTGACAACCTGGCCCCAGAGTTGAACTGTTATGTCCCATAAAGAACAGAACATGGAGGTTAAATATACTGTCACCATGGGGATCTTAAAACTGTCACTTAATTTTTTTTTACCACCTTTATTCCTGGTAGATTATGGTGGTGGTCGGTGAAAGTGGGGTGGGAGGTGAACTTCTTTCTTCTTTTTTTCTGTTTTCTGCTTTTTAAAGGTTAGCTCCATTGATCTAATTTATACTTAGGGACATTGGTGTGTGCGTGTGTGTGAGAGAGAGATCATATCATTACTTATTACCTATTCTATTGCCTTAACTGAGGAGGAAGGGGGAACAGAAAAAAGGGAAAAAGAAAGGGCTGACAATGAACTAGTTTTCGAGCTGCTATCAAATACAATGTTATTGAGGAATACAGATGGATACTAGATCAATACTTACATGTAAGTATTGATATATATATATATATATATATATATATGTAAGTAATTGTTTTATTAAACATAGTATCATCTTCTTATATTAGGGCAATGTTAAAGTGAGTAGATTCATGTTGTGAATTGATATGTATAACATTCAAACTGAAAAGAATGTTCATAGATAAACCAAAATCACATGCTCTGTTCTCATGTATGTGCCAGTGTAAAGTTATGTTTTGCTAAAATAAACTATAGATGTTAGCCCTACGTTTATTTAAACATTTATAGTGGGAAACTTTTGTACCATAACTCTCTGTCTTTCTGCTAGAAATGTGTTTCCTGCTGAAGATGTCAAAGCGACCCCATTATGCTTTTTTGGGGTTTTCCCTTCCCTGTAGTGTTATATAGGTTTATGTGCATGTAAATGGTCTGCGAAGGCTAGAACATCAAAGTTTCCTCCAGAGGGAGTTTCTCTCCCACACACTCACACACCTGCCTGAAACGCCTCCATTGGACTCCAACACATTGTACGTGACAGGCTAAGGGAAGGATCATTCCCGGCACATCTCTAAGCTGATGACCAATCACAACAGAGCCGGCCAGTTAACCAATCAGAGCAGACTGGTAAACATGTCACAGAGTACAGGCACAAAATACAAATATGAAACCTGAAAATGTCTAATATTGCTGATGGTTTAAATATCCAGGTCCACATAGGCTGAAGGACAGTATAAAACCTAGAGTCTGTAGACCCATGCTCAAGGCTGACCAAGTATTGTCCCTTAAACTGTTACTCAGTAGCTTATATCTTTAACTCCAATCAGTTCGTGTTTATAGTGTTTCATATTCTAATGTGCTGAGTGTTAAAGTTACGGATCCACAACACCAGTGTTAAAGTCTCCCTGCTAAACCCTTCACTCTCTGCCATGCAGGTGAAGGCATGAGCTGTAAAGGCCCCTACACACCAATCTGACACCAAAGAACACGTCCCGATGGACCTGACTGTCGCCTCACGTCTCCTGCGTCTTGGCCAACAGTCGTACTGGAACCCGCAACGCAAAGACTTCAGCCGACGGCCAAATTGCACGTACGAACTGCGCATGCGTGAGTGCCAATAACTCTCCTTACCAGCAGGTGGCGGTAGTGTGTATTCGTCATTCAAAAGAGGCAACAACCGGAAGACAGACTGCGTGATACACCGCGAGAAGAAGAACAGACTGCGTGATATAAACAAACAACAAATAGCATGTGCGTTCCATTTTCACTCTACAACGAGAAGCTCATGGGGCTTTCCCGAACCTGAGTCGAGAGCTGGAGTTCAATGAAATCTCAGATTTGCCTTCTTAATCGTTTGTTTGGGTCCCTCACTTCCGTTTAGCTTCTCATGCACTGATTCACTAAGCTGAACAGCCAATCAGAGTGATTTCTTTAGCCGACGGCCTTTTACCGACAGCCGGAAGGTGTCGGCACGGCCGAAAAGACACGACGGGGCGGGACACACCAATCTGAGTAGGGCCGACAGGACAGACATCTATCGACGGCCGAAACCGGCTTGGTGTGTAAGGACCTTAAGACTGAGTGAGCGGCTGTTTGTTTGTTCCCAGCAGACAGAGACCAGCAGCATCAGGGAGTTCAGTTTGTCTTCTGTAGTAAACCTGAGTGTACTTTAGGTGCGTGGCTGTGTCCTTACCTGCAGTGTGCCACAATGGGCCCAGCGTCAGGCGGGTTGAGGAACTTGACCTGCCGTATGAAGCCGAGCAGTCCGGTGGCGTAGCAGGGAACGCCGTGGTCGGGCCAGCTGGTGAAGTGGAACTGACGGAGTTCACGGATCTCATGATGACCCTTCTGAAAAAAACACACACAGGAGACCCGTTACACCTCAGCTTCATATGGCAATTCCACAAAACCATTCTTTGCCATTTTCGTCTCTTGATGGGGACAAATGCACGGAACTCACAAATCTCATCATGGCCCTTTTGGGAGAGACTGACAAGAAGACATATCATGGTTCAGCAGACTAATTTACAGCAGGGATTTTAAGAATCCTGGGGCCATTCTGTGTCTTCGGCTTCAGATGGAAAATAAATCGATCTCGTGGATGTCAAGAAGGCACTTTGTGCCACTTTAGGGAATGGGGGACAGGAAGACTTATCGCGGCTCATTTGCCTAATTTACTGGAGAGATTTGAGGAAACTGATGGCCATTTTGGCTCCACAAAAAAGATGAATTGATTTCACAAATCTCATGATGGCCCTTTAGGCTTACAGGGAGAAACGCCATGGATCAGTTAAGCTGCATATTTTACAGATTGTAAATATTTAACAGTCGTCAGAAACATGAACAAGATAGAAAAGGGAATATGCTTTAACATCTTTTATGACGTGATACTTCATAAAGAGAGCTTTTTAAAGACCAAAATGCCAAATAAATTGGACTCCATTTATTGGGACTCTTCTCCGAGGGAGATACAGAAACAGACATTTTGTTTCCTAGCAATGGAGATAATATGAAATGAGAAGAAAACAAGAACCCATTATAGCTGTCCACGAGATAGCATTTTGGAATATTAATGAAGAACTTTTGAGAAACACAATGCAATGAGCTGTTAAATGCTTTCCTTTCTCTCTATGGGGATATTAAACAACTTAAACTGACGATCTGAGGCTTAATAGATAGCTTTTAACTCAAGGGGAGGCGTGTGGCGCAGTAGAGCCTTGGTTTGGGATCAGGTGGTCACAGGTTCAAACCCCACTGCAGTCAGCATGTGGTTGTGTCCCTGAGACACTTCACCCCAAATTGCTCCTGTGGGGACTGTCCACAGTATTGAGTATGTAAGTCGCTTTGGATAAAAGCGCCTAACGAGTGACATGTAATAATAATAACTCTCATCTCCTTAGGTTACAGGCATAATGCTTCACTGTTGTAAGCCCTTATTAATCAACTACTCAAATATTTAAGCAATAGCTTAAATATTTAGCTGTGAAATAATGAGCATATATCACGGCCTGAAGTGAGCTATTGCTTTTATAAAACGGTTACCAAGTGTGGCAATATGAAAGAAAAATACACACTCTAATTCAAATAGTTTTTATTAGTAAATAATGATGTTCAAAATAAAATAGTCCCTCCGTTGCCTTCTGCACAAAACATAGTGCAAGGTGGTTGCTATGTAACAACACTAACAGCTAGCCAACATATTAGACAGAGAGCGTTGATCCATTATTTGGCTATTTATTCACATGAATTTGTATGTTGCCGTTTATTGTGCACCCGCTGAAAAACTGTCCAGCATCAGTATAATGGCTTACGTGGTTACTTGTATAGGTTGAGGTTGTTCTAGGCTGTTGCTTGGCGTGGCGAGAATATTGCTCCACTTTCTCCGGTCCCCGAGATTCGGCTTCCAGTAGCTCTGGAGAGAGCTTTCGCACCTGTGGCCACTAACGGTCATACTTTCTCTGCTTTGTTTCAAGAGCCGCATCAGAAAGCTTTTGAATGCTGCTACTTTTCCAGTTGGTCTACCTGCTCTTCACGTAGCTCTGCATGTCGTCGTTTAGGTGCTTTTTTTCTGGAGATAGGCACTGCTCAATCCACTCCGCCATAGTAAGACCACAAAGTGAATCTTAAATGTTTCCATCTTAAGCTTTGTTAGTTAGTTAGTTTCGTAATGGAAGTAATGTAACAGTTGTAACGGTTGTAGCTTTTCTCAGACGCGGAGGGATACATGACTTGTGAAAAGTGACCTTGTGATATACGCTCATTATATCACGGCTAAGAACCAATCAGATTGCTTGATTTGACTTGTCCGTTTTATAAACAACAATATATCATGTTGCAGCTTGCTGTCTATTAAAGTGGCCCAATATCTAATCCAAAGGCAAGCATGGAGATGAATTTGACTTAATTGAACAATCTTGGGAAGGTTGTTCTTAAATTGTATTTTTTCCATATACAATTACACGAAAGTATAGGACCAGTTTGCAACAAAGTTTTCAGGCAGGTTTGGGCTCAAGGACACCCAAACAACCTCATTGTATATTGCCAATATTAGACCTGTCAACAGAAAGTCACTAAACTTTGACAGCGTATGCCACTGTGATGTCCGATAACTGCTCCTCTGCAGCCTCAGGGCTGAGAGCTCTTACTTCTAGCTTGCTACTCAGAATTCTGACCTGCATCTCTCCGCACAAGATGCTAAAATATCCCAATCGTACACATCTCAGGAACGCAGCATAAGATATGCATGACCCTTCTTTCTGCTTCCACTGGTTCAATTATTCTCCCAAACACACGCTCCTGCTTTAATAATTCAAATCAATCGATCCCAATATAGTGTTGTAAGCTAAACAAGGCTTAAATGGAGAGGGACATGCCCTCCTCAGTTCAGTTTAGGTAAAGAACAGGAAACTGTTGCAGCTCCTATTCTGCTTCTGATACACAGATAAGGTTGCAGTGAATAATTTATTTTAGCATATGAAAAACTGAGAAGCAGGGAGAAACATAAGGGAAGAAAAAGACAAGGTGAGAGGTCAAGAACGAGACTGTGAGTGGGAAGGATCAATGGGCAAGGACAAGAGTGGGGAATGACAAATACACTGAGCGCGGAAAAGTGGAGGTTTCTTCAAGGATGAAGAGACATGTGACAAGGAATGGACAAAAAGAAAGATAGAAGAGATAACATAGACTGACAATGAGAGTGAGAGAGGCCTGGAGACAGAGAGGATGGAAATAAAACCCAGAAAACCATATGGTGATTTGATAACTGGACTTCCCATTGATTTGCTATCTTTGATGTTGAAATTACTTCTCTAAATCGATGGCCGGCGGTCCATGACAGCCAGGCCATGTTGGAAATGTGATGAGGATGGAGAAGCATTTTAAAGTCTCTACTGTGAGAGAAGAGGATGATCTCTGCTGCGGCTAATGGTTTCTTTAAGCGTCTTACTTTTAGTTAAGACTCCTTTGAATGAGTACGTTGGCCGACAGTGCTACAACCAGCCTCAGATATTTACATTATGAAAGACACGCTGCAGTTTCAAAAACAATGCAAACATAAAAACACGTTGTGCCTAAACACATGCACAGCCTTCAGAAAACATTCACCAAATTGACGGAAAATCCGGAGCGTTTACTTAAAGCGCTTAGTAAACAAAACACTAAAACCAGACTAAAATACGCTGCAAGAAGCTCAAAACACAACAGAAATGGGGACACTAAAGAGTGACACACACAGCTGGGACTGAGCGTGTGTTTACGTTTGAATTATAAAGTTGCCAACTTACCTAAAATGTGATTTTTATTGGTTTATCTTAACAATGTTATCACATGATTCCTTCTGATGTTATTGCTCATCTGATGTAAGCTAGCTAGCTAACGTGGCTAAATAGTATTTTTATTCAGCGCTTTTAGTAAACGCATGTGTTGTCAACTTGGTGAACATTTCTTTTTCATTTGCATGTGTTTTGGCACAATGGTTTGGGTCATTTGAGCATGTTTGCACCTGCATGCCGGCCACCATAGTTGAGTGACAAATCACTACATTACAGTTTTTGCTTTAAAAAGAGCTCGAGGTACATTTTCCCCAGTACTATTACAGGTTCTTATGTTCTTGTCATGGCAAATACGGTTTTTTCTAAGTGTCCTTATGCCATACAGGAATAAACATCTTTGGTTGATTTTCATCAAAATGAGAAGAGTTCCAGGCATATAAAGCCACTTAAAAATGATCAGTTTCTCTGGTGCTATTTACAAGTATTTATTTAAGTTAAATTAACACTTGTGTTTTATTCTATGAACTAATGACAACATTTCTCCCAATGGCTAAAAATAAATGTTGTCATTAAGAGATTTTATTTGCAGAAAATGAAAGCTACAATGGTCTCTTTATTTTTTCTCAGAGCTGTAGATGCACTGCGTTTGAATGTTTTATTGTATTTATTCTCTTGAGTTTCTGGAACAACGTGTGATGACTGGACGAGTGAGGAGTTCAGCATCTTCCTCAAGGTCACTCTGACAAAATGCAAGACTTCCTTCTCCGCTGAGAGATGAACCCAAGACCTCGGAGCTGTGGAGGATAATTAACCACAAGATCACCCTGACATTGGTGAAGCATTTCTGTAGCAAATGTATGTGTATGAGTTGCCATTGTATTCGCCTACTAGCTTTGGTATAAATCCAAGAAACCAAATCATGCAGAAGATGAAGAATAGAACATGAAAAAGTATTGCATTTAAAAACCTTGAAAAGTGAAGAATAAATGTGATGATGAAATAACGGTGGGTTACGTATTGTAACCCTAGTTCTATAAGCACAGGCCGAGCCCTCTACTGGACTCTATGGGTACTACTCTCATCAATAATACGTGAGCGTTCACACACTGAAGTTGTATAAACGTAGCCGGCCAATCAGGGCGAGCCTACCTGAATGCACGCACAGCTCACAGTATATAAGGCGGCTACGCCTCCTGACTGTCATCCTACACCCTCTTCAGTGAGCATCATAGGAAAGACAGGGCCCCTAGGGAGAGGGCCCTGCCTGTGCTTATAGAACTAGGGTTACAATACGTAACCCACCGTTCTATCTCACACAGGCTCCGCCCTCTACTGGACTCTATGGGTACAGTGGGTGGAGCCCCGATGGATAAACGCCCTGTCGTCCCACAACATCGACCTACCACACTGCCCCTTTGCACCGGCCTTTGGCTAACAGCCACCGCACCCCAACTTCCTATCACAGGGATGTCGGGCCGCAGCATACTTGGCTGGGTAGAGCCTAATTGGTCTGAATAAGCCCATAGCTCTACCCTGCAGGTGCCAGCGCACCACGTTTCCCAGGTCCCTAAGGAGCATGGGGAAAACGTAAATGTACTATGTCCTCCACACTCACACGCTTACCTCGTGTAGTGTGTGCACGGACCTAGTGGGGAAGGCTCTCCCCGCCTGCCTATGTCCTCCAGCCCTGTATGGGGCTTACTGCGCACCACGTTTCCCAGGTCCCTAAGGAGCATGGGGCAACGTAAGTGCATTATGTCCAAGGGGGTCAGATACAGCTTACTGACCCACAGCCCTCCTCCTTTCACCAGTCCTGTGTTGCCCCAGCAAGCACCAACGATGAAAAAGGAGCCAGACATGTCTAAGAGATACTTACCTTATGAACGGGCCTGGCGTAGACCAATACGCCACCGTGCATAGGTGGACGACTAAAGCCGTCTAGCTGTATAACCCTCGACCTGGAATAACTCCTTAGGTTCTTGGAAACAGAGGAGGGGTTCGGTCTGAGTGTCGCCCTGCTACGGTCACCACGAACCAGAAGGCAACTTGGGTGCACCGATAGAGCAGTCAGTTCGCATACTTTCTTGGCAGAAGTCAAAGCAAGCAGCAAAGCTGTTTCTTTTTGCTTCTCTCTCTCTCAATGATAGCGCATGCAGGGAGGAGAGCTCCAGAGGCTCAACGGTTCTGTAACCAAAGCCTCGAGCACCATTCTTTTATGGCAGTTCCCATTGCACCACTGGGCGCTGTCTCCTGATCCCCTGCACAAAACGCCTCATAAGCGGTTGGCTGAAGACTGGTCTGCCGCCAAATCCTGCATGACAGGATGAGATGGCTGCTGCATACACATTGACTGTGGCATGAGCAAGCCCCGCGTCCACCAGTAGCTATAGCTAGGATGGAATAGAGCCCAATGTACCGGACAGAGGCTCTAGACTCCCTTCCTCGCACCACGTCTGTCTGTCCTCTGACAGAGTGGCACGTAGCCTGCCCTCCTTCTCGATGGGGCGTACACCCTTCTTTCAAACGTTTTACTTTTTCTGTCAGGTGTTGGCCTGCTCGCTGAAGAGAAAAGGATGACAGTCAGGATATTATATACTGTGAGCTGCGCGCGCATTCAGGTAGGCTCGCCCTGATTGGCCGGCTACGTTTATACAACTTCAGTGTGTGAACGCTTGCATATCATTGATGAGAGTAGTACCCATAGGGTCCAGTAGAGGGTGGAGCCTGTGTGAGATAGAACTAAAGAGACCGAGTGGAAAGAAAAAACCTGCTAAACACTGCTAACTTATCCTTTCAGCAAAGTATCACAGTTATTTTGTCTCCAACTCATCTAGACGCCTAACACCTGTCTGGATATCAGCTGGCTGTAAAGTCCTGTAGAACAATTTATCTGAGAAATTCCAATCAATCAAAATCTAATCCAAATGACTGGACTGGATCTTTGATTGAAGATGTTTTAGAGATTTGTGGAAAATAATAAAGGAAGCCATTACGCCCACCAGTGGATCAACTCAACTGGTTTTAGGCATTGTGACAGACAAATGTTGTTTCACAGACTTCAGGGAGCGTTCCTCCAGTTTGACATAAGCAGCCTGTTTTACACATCTCTCAAACCATCTGCCCAATGCGCGTGTGTGCTGGTCCTCAAGCTGTGATTGTTTGCTGGTAGCTTTGTGCCCACTGCTGGGTCCGGCTCAGTTTGGTCTCCGCTGTGGCACACAATTGTTTGGTTTCTCCGTTCTGAGTGCCATAGACCAGATTACTCCTCTGCTGTGTTGGAGTTGGTCCATGGGGTTCTCTAAGCCCTGTTGCAGTTTCTTGTTGGGTTCTAAAGTACTAGGAAACTGTGTTTAGAACAAATCCTTCAAAAATGCTCTTACACTCAATCTACATGTTGGACTGAAAGCTGTGTTCTGTTTTTTAGTGTCAGTTGTCTGATGTTAGTTGAACTGCTTGCACATTTAGAAAAAGGCCTAAACAGGGTGACCAGACCTTGATTCAATCAGGATAATCCATTAGATTTTGTAATGTTTTACCTTTGATCTAATGTCAGTAGATAAATGGGTGCAAATATATAGCACTTTCTAGCAGTGGTGAACCCTCAGGGCCTTCAAGGTATTCAGAGAATACCCTGGAACACTCAGATAAAAAAATTAATAAAATCGATTTAATTATATGAATAAAATATAATAAAATGAATAAATGAGAATGGTATCTGTGTTGTTGATCTGTAATATTATAGTGTTACATTGATTTGTTTGTCCTTCTCGGACCATGCACTACGCATTTCAGTGGTTTTGTGTTAGAAAAGAAAGCAACCAATCAGATCTTGTTCTGGGTCTCTGGGTAGAATATCCTTCAACCAAGGTATTCTACATCCTTGATAGAATGCCCTGGCCGTTGCACTGAATGAGAGCGTACGTTTGGACTGACAGTTTGATCAACCAATCATATATTGATTTGTAGCCAATGGGCGTATTCTTTCAGAGTTTCCCTCGGTTCCAGGGTATTCTAGAAGGCCCTCTAGTTCACTGGCTCGAGACAGAGGATCTAGATGAATGCGACGAAGCAATTCATGCTGTTTTATTGTTTTTAACGTTGAAATGACAAGTGCAACATGTGAAGATGAAGTTGTTGCGGAATTGTCGTGAGTCCTTTTCAAGACGACAATTCAGTGAAAAGACGGACATTATAATGCCGCGGAGGGGGGGGGCAGCGGTGGTGGGGGGTGTGTGTGTTTACAGAAGGTCCAGTTGTGATAGACACGGTTCGCCACTGCTTTCTAGTTACAAATGTTTTAACTAACGGACAAATTGCTTTACAATGTGCCTCATTTGCATATTTGCTACAGCTTCTTCTCCACCTCCATGATGCCATCCGCTTTTTGGTGGATTCCATTTCCTGTAGTGTGTTATATGGTTTGTGGTCAAGTAAATGGTCTGCAAAGGCTAACATCCCAACGTTTCAGGGTGGAAAGAGGGTCTGCAGCCGAGCCCGTATGAGGAAAACAAAGCACTTTTTGAACATTAAAGCACAGGAGAGCCACTAAATACAAATATGAATGAGGATCATAATAGGGCCCCTCTCAGTAATACAGTATATATTTTTTTTTTTAAACGTCAATATAATTACGACCGTGTTCACTCACCTACTGTTTGACTGATTCTCAACCATATAGTTCTTTAAATCTTGCCTATCTCTCTTTTTGTCTCTCTTTTTTTCTTCATTTTCCTTCTATCCAACATGCTTGTACGCAGATTTTTCCTTTTGTTCGAGTCTCTCTCTGCCACTCTTGGTTAATCTCCTCGGACGTGCCATTAATAAAGCTTTTCATTAAGACCCTGTTATTACTCACTGCAATTAAAGCCATTTAACTGTGGTGCAGAACCTCTCTCTCTCTCTCTCTCTCTATCTCTCTCTCTCTCTCTCTCTCTCTCTCTCCTCTCTCTCTCTCTCTCTCTCTCTCTCTCTCTCACCCTCTCTCTCTCTCTCTCACCCCTTTGTATTGCTTTCTCTTTGTTCTCCACACTCACTCACTCACACTCACTCACTCTCACACACAAAACCTACTGTAGTTTCAAGAGAATTGTGTACTCTGAGTGTGTGTGTTTGTACGTATTAATGCATTCTGCAAAATGACAGGCATTTCAAAGTCAGCTTTCCTTTGAATTTTAAAGTAGTTGTGCACGCACACACACACACGCTCAGAGGTGGTATGGATTAATGGCTTGCTAAACGAGCTGACAGCGAGAACTTGAAGACTCGTCTTCATAAGCTGCTTTCGCACGAGTGAAGGGGGAAGGAAATACAGGATAGGGAAAAAAGAGGTATATAAAGAATGCGAGAAAATGACACCGGCAGCAGGCAGAGAATATTTTAGTTTTTTTAAGTGTCTGATAATTGTTCCATTTGAATAATTATTTTATTTTTTTGGTGAAGTACGACTGCTAACTGTCAATGTATTTTTGATACATCTACGGTTCAGAGTGGTACAAACCAGTAAGAAAGATATATGCATGAAAGCAAAGTGAAATATATTAGCCAAATAGAAAAAGCAGTAAAAAAAAAAACAGAGATATAACTTGAAAAAGAGGGGACGTGACACAGAAGAAGATGTGAACAAAGTATGGTTATACAATCAAAGATTTGATTTTTTCTCTTATTGTCAAGTGTGTTTATGCAAGCATCAATCCCTCCAGCCTGATTATAATGGCACCGATTAACTTTCCAACATGTTCTCAAACAGTGAGAAACAAACAAGGAGCACTTCTTTCTTGCTTCCAATCATATATTATAATATATGAATCCAAGTTTGGGGTTTAGAAAGAAGATAAGGAGGGTCATTTAACAACAAAGAGAACATGACAGGGTTTAAATACTATTGGGTTTCAGAAATGTTCTGAAAACTAGACTCATAATATGTTGATTTAACATAAGGCAACCTTGTTGAAATACTTTGTCAATAATATGTATCAACAGCTGCATCATTTTGTGATAACAGAAAAGGTAAATATTTGAAATCCCATGTGCTTATTTATGGAGGAGGATAAGGGCCGTGTGGGAATCTTTCTTTTGAGATCCGAAGTGAATCCTTTTTTTCTCAATTCTGAGATTAAAGTTAGAATTCTGAAAAGAAAAATGTGACTTGTATTGTGAAATGTGACTTTCTTGAAATCTTGGAATTCTGACTTAATTCTCAAACGTTTTTTTTCATAATTCTGATTTAAGTCTGGGATGAAAGAAAAATCACGTGGCCCTAATCCTCTTCTGTACTGGTTTAACTTCTGCTAGAGGTGATATTTTGCAATGCCACGAATGTAAAAAAAACATTTATTTATTTACCATTTATGATGTTCTTTGGGAGTGAAGATCCCTACATTATAAGTCATATTGTTAGTTTTACTATTGAAGATATTCCATAGTTTACCTTTTGGACGGTGAATGTCCTTATGACGTACTCAGCCAGCGGTTCAGTTTCTATCAGGGTCACCTTGATGTCTCCATAAACCTCCGTCTCATCCGGCCAGTAACGCACACACTTCACCTGGAAAACACATATTAACATTCATACAATGTAGTGAAACAAGCCAGTCATGATCACTCAATGAGATTGTTGAGAGCAGTACCACTGAAACACCCAATGGAAAAATCCCATTCGCTTTTCATCGAGGTAGCCCTTGTGATGCTTACTTCCAAGTTGGCCAACAAACATTGGTCATCACTGCGTCACTCTATTTGGCCTCTTCATCAAACACATTAACATATATTTTGTAATATATTAACTCGGATGACAAACTCACCCTGCCCACCTCAACCAGGTTGGTAACCATGACGATAGAGGCCGAGTTCTCCTGCCAGACCATCCTCCAGAAATCCCTCACTGTCTCCTGCATGGGCCCTGACACACACACACACACACACACACACACACACACACACACACACACACACACACACACACACACACACACACACACACACACACACACACAAGTTAGATATGCATAACGACACACACACCAACAGACACATGCATATGTACAGTATTTATGTATAAACACACTCATCACATACAAATAAGTCAGCACTGATAGCACAGACTTAAACAAACACACACATGAACAGAAAAAGCACACATGCACACACACATGCACTCACACACTATCAATCCCAGATAGTGGCTCCGGGGTTTGAGGTAATGGGGTCTTACATTTGCCAGGGGGATTTTATACGGCGGTTTAGATTTAGGAGGTTGCAGTAATAGCCTCCAAAACCGAGAGGACGATATTTACCAGGTGGCACACACACACACACACACACACACACACACACACACACACACACACACACACACACACACACACACACACACACACACACACACACACACACACACACACACACACACACACACACACACACAATCTACAAATCACACATAGTCTCCTCTCACACACACACATTACGTCAGTTTAATTACCTTGTGTGGCGATGTAATGTCTGGGTCTGTGGTACCCCTGTGAGACAGATAAAAAAGAAAAGCATAAAATAAAAAACTCTCCATATTTACGTCATCTCCATATTTTTCTTCCCATATTTCTACATGTGGATGCACTATACGCACATACACCATGTCCGTTTACTGTTTCTTAATGTAGCCTTATATTTCTATATTTAATTTGTACTGTCTTCTGCCCCGCTTTCATTTTTCTCCGCAGGCTATCCGTTCTCTGTATATTCCCAGATGGGTAAAGTACTAACATTGCAATTGAAATCAACATTGTAACTTCTTGCTTATTCATTACATCACCTTCTCACTTCACTATCAGTTTGTCTAACACTCCTCGCATCTTTCTTTGTACTATTTGACTTCTAAACTGTTGAGTTGATCTCTTTGCCAGCTTCTCTTACTAATCAAAATCCATCTTTTCCTCACTCTTCTATCATTGTTTTATTTATTTACTGTCCTGGTGAAATGATTGCTTACTATTTCTTCTTTTTAAATCATCCACCTCCTTTACTCTTTTTCCTTGTCCTCTGCTTCTCAATCAGTTTCTGTCTACTTCCATCCTCCATTTCTCAACCTGGCTTTTTATCATTGTATTCTTCTTCTCCTCGCTCCTCTGTTCTGTCGTCTCCTCCCATGTTTTCATTTATCCCGTCTCCCTCTCCAGACACTTCAATCCTCAGAGAAGCATAACTCAAGGTCGTTTTCCGAATAAACATCAAATTAAATAATAGAGGAGAGATTAAAAGCGACTCCCTCTTGTCCCTGCACAGCCCCCCCCCCAAAAAAACAACCTCCCTATGAGACTGATAACCTTGTTGAGATGAAAACATTTATCACGTTCATATTGTCATTACGACCACGTTATAGATATCTGCACAGAGGGAATATATTGTTTCGAGTTACAATTGTTCAATACCCCCCACTCTTTCTTTTCTTAAGAAATAAATGGTGTCTGTGGAGACTGATTTAAAATCAGCATTATGTACCGGTTTCAATAATACTATTATTAAAACAGTTCACTGTTAGATTGACACTCAATTGATAAGTGGAGCACAATGCTCAAAGGGCAAAGAGAGATGGGGGGGGGGGGCAAGAGGGAAAACAGTGGGAAGGTAAGGGACAGATGGAACTGAAGAAGGGAGGAGAGAAAATGTACTAAAGGGGGGGGGCTGAATGGGAGGAATACAAAGCAGAATACAATACAATTTAAGTCCTGATGACTTTCCCCGCATCCATATTTCATTTTTTAAATGGGTGGGGTCCTTTCGTTATCACGACCTTTGCTAAAGGCCTCAGTGTGAGTGCACTTCTCTGTGGAAAGAATATTGTCTATATGTTGGAGTCCATGTTGCTTTATTGCATTTCAGAGAATCTGAAGCCCATCTTATTATTATGTTTTGTCTGCACAGGAAAGATTGTTGAGATCCACCCAGATCCATCTTTTATTCCTTTTCTATATACATTCAAATTACCATTTTTGACATTTGGATTTTCCTTGTTGTACATGTATCACTTTTTTAAAGCATACACAAAACATCTATTGCACGTCTGTCTGTCCCGAGGTGTCTTTCATTATTTCCCCATTAGTTTTTTGCTTGTATGTGCGGGCGGTCTAAGGACAGAGGGTGTCGTACAGTATGCTGTACACACTGTAAAGCCCCCTAAGGCAAATGTGTAATTTGTGATATTGGGCTACATAAATAACATTTGATTAAAGCTTGATTGAGTAATATGTGGCTGCGTTATTGGGTACTACCCTGTTCAACCATGTATTTACAAAACACAGCCCACACTGTAGGGAGTTGCCATCATTCATGAAAATGATTTTACATGTGCATTCTCAACTGCTTTTACTTTTAAGAATATGTATATAAAGTTTGAAGGTACTGAGGTTATTATGGGCACAAATTGTCTGTTGAAGGGATTTTTTTTTAAATAATTGTTTCTGTGTATGTCTCCGATACAAATAGCTTCACTTTCAACTACTGCATGTTAGAATGTGTGCATATGTATTTCCATCTTTGTGAAGACCAATTTGCTTAAGACGTCCAAAGTGAAGACAGATTGAAAATGGAGGACTATTGGAGGTCACTTGGTGTTTGGGGTCATGTTACAATAAGGTAAGCTTAGTGTTACTCTTCGGTTAGAGTTCCTGGTTCTCAAAAGCATTGATGTACAGATGTGTCTGTGTGTGTAACCACTCACGTCAATGTAATTGGCGTTGATGTAGTCAGAGTGGGGGTCTCCTTCCAGCAGCTGCAGTCGGACTCTGGTGTGATCGTCTGTGGGGTCAGATAGCACAAAAATACAACAGGCCTAAAGTTACATTTACCCACAGATCGGAGCAGCTAACTGAGTGGAGGGGGAACCGACTACAGTAACTAACCAGGCTCCAGGTTAGAAGACTGTCCGAACCAGAGTAAGAAAGCACTGGGCTTTTATTGAAAGAAGAACGTTTTCCTTCAAATCAACCTGTACGCACGCTTTGTGAATGTCCTCTTTTAGTAGCAAAGAAAACTCTTGGTTGAGCATACACATCATGTCACTTTGACACTAGAGGCCGCGGTTCAAGTTCTGTCTCCTACCAACAGTGTTTTGTATTATCATAAAGACACCTAAGAAGAGGGTTCAGTCAAACCATAACCACAGGAATGCCACACAAAGAGATCAGTACAAAAACTGACCAACTCATCCTAAAATCATAAATTCTGGCAGATTCTTTGTAACACATGAGCTGAATGGGCAAGAAAAAACAAGTTTTGCACTAGAATCCACAAAGCTGATTGAAGTCATTGCAATGAAACACTGTTCCATATATAATCTGCCTATCTCAACAAACACTAGTTTATTTGCTACCAAATGAAACACAATCAAAACCTTGCAACAGTGCTTAAACCACCAACATTCATTTTGTTCTACCTTGGGGCAGCAGTGGCTCATCTGTAGGGACTTGGCCAGGTTAATGTTTAAAAGTAATAGTACAAGTAATGTTTAAACAATGTATTTAAAGAAACCATAGCAATGAGCACATTGAAAAGAAAACCTTTTTTTGCCATAATGACTATATGACTATAAGACCCATATTTATGAGCCATTGACTTGACAAACTCAATGGTGGAACCCATTGCCAAAGTACATGTCACCAAAAGTAGTTTTGCTTTTCTCTTTCTGGCTGATTACCAATTATTTTGTTCTGTGCTCTAAAAACCAACCATAGTATTATGACGCATGTGGGGATGATTATGTCTAATGGCAGGCGGTGATTTTGTTAAGTCGTAACGCAGCAACAGCAGGTAATTGCAGATGAAGCGAACATGCTTTAGTCTGATTATCTCTATTTTTCGAGTCTTTTTCTTTTGTCATGTTGACATGCTCTAGTTCATCCCAATTGAGGTTCATTCTCTTAAACGTATGAGAGAGGAGAAAGGTACAGGTGATGATATCGCAGGAAAGAGGTAAGAAATGGCCAAGTATCAGGTGATATGAGGAAAAGGGTATTGGGGCTAGGGGAAAGGGGGAGGGAAACTGGCACAAGACTGGGAGAAATAAAAGAGGGATCACCTATTTCTTTCTTTGAAGTCACAGAAATGCTAATGCTATGAATGTGATTGATGCAATGCTACAGCGGGGTGGAGCGCTAATAGCAAGACAACAGCTAGCGGACAGACTGGCGAAACAAAGCCGCCAGTCTGTTTGCTGCATGGAAGACTTCTGAACTGTTGATTTCTCATTTATACATCAATCTAACGCTTTCTTTTGAATACTTTTACCCACGGAAATTCACAAGTCAGTTAAACAGAAACTAATTAAATGCTGTACAGCAACTGCCAAGGGCTTACAGCTTTAGCAGGAACCTTTTTTTTACAGAAAGGATTAAAGCCTTCAATCTAAATCAAACAGAAATACTGCATTCAAATCAAAGCATTCATGTGAGAATAGCTAGTGTTTGTTTGATGACTCATACTTTGAATAGTTGTTCTCTATGTTTAAAATGGAGACAATCATGTTGTCAAGTAGGTGTTAATGTGGTGAATATTTTAGAACTGATGTGTGATTATTCTATTCATGGTTGGCACAAACTGGCTTTTGGTAGAGTTAAACAAAATCAGAAATAGAAGCGGAAATTATTATAAGGTCCCATTGACACTTTTAACTTTGAATAAACAATAAATATATCGTATAGAAATACTTCAGCAGAAGACTGTGAGATGCAGAAAAAGCAATGTGAATCCAGTATAAAAAGGACTTTTTCTAAGGTGAAATATGATCTTTCTCAACTGTATCCATTGGCAGGTCATGAAAGACCATTAGCTGAGTGGTGGACGATGTTCGGATGTTAAACCTTAAGTCTGAAGTGTCTCGGCCAAATCCCAACAGGAATGTCAGCCTACATGATCCCTTGATGTCAGAACAAAAGGTGCAACTCAAACGATGTTTTTTCTGGGCAACTCTGAAGCACAGTATCCTAAAAGCCAGAGACAGGCCTCCTTAAATTCCTTTTCCAGGAAGTAACCCAGACCATCTACACACTATCAGTTTTGTGGTCACCAAATGAACAGAACTGGCTCCATTGGCACTGAATAATATCAGTGAACATGAGTCTTTAATGCGGAAAAGCTGCATCTAATACAGAGTCTTCCGATGAATCCCCTCCTGGATTATCATTTGTAGGATCACCTTGAGGAGAATCATTTATATCAGACACATTTCCCAGCTCTGGCTGAGAGGCAACAATGATGGCAGCATGACTCCACTCTGCTGGTACAAGATACTGTCATCAGCTATCAGCTCACCCACACTCTTTCTCACACACCAACCATCTCCCTCTCTCGCACACACACATTCTCCACATGTAAAAACAAACACAACAGGAGTTAGTATGCCATCCTTCTGCTAGTTTTCTTTTCCTCTCTTCTCCTTCTCTTTCTCTGTCTCATTTTCCCTCTCTTCCACCCTTTCCCTTCTAATTCTGTCCCCGCCTGACTCTCCTCATCTTCAGTTCGTTCCCTGCCTTGTCTTCCTTCATTTCATGTTTCCTCCTCCTGCTCTCCTCCCCTCTTTGCTCCATACTGTCTCGCTCCTTCAGACAGCAGTAATTACACGGTGCTAGTGTCAGAGGCTGTCATAACACGAGAGCCACCGATATGAGGCTGGTGGGGGAGAGGGGCCCTTTCCACTTCTCTCTGCCCAGGGAGGGGAGCTTCTAATTGGGCTAAGTTAGCAGGAGGTACTGGCTTGCAAAGACTGCAGATCTGGACACAGGCCAGAAGTTTGAAGGGGGCTGACAGTGTGTGTGTGTGTGTGTGTGTGTGTGTGTGTGTGTGTGTGTCTGTTTGTGTGCGTGAGAGAGAGTGAGTAAGCATAAACCAAGCGGCAACCTATTGGTCCAGGAAGTAAAGCCAATGCAGAACTGCCATAAATGACATAGAAGTCGAGAATTATTGTATAGAAGTATAGAAGTCTATGAAAATGTTTTGACTACTTCTCACTTGATTTATAAATCCCTTTTGTGTTTTCAAACCAGGAAAGTTCAATCAATGATTGTATTCAACAAACCAATCGGTGACCCCACGGTTACCACGTCTACTTCTTTCCATGGCGTAAATCAATCAAAACCTCATGTACACACACAGGTTTATCCATTTATAAGGATCACTTTACACTATATATATAAGTCAAGAGTTCTAGTGTAGAAGTATAGAGGTCTATGACATTATCTTCCCCTAGACTTCTCACTTGATTTATTACCCCAGTAATCATTTTCCTAAATTATTGATGGTCTCAGTAACTAGTTTCTACTCATCTTCAATACATCATGGTGTTCATTTAGTAAATAAAGATTTCATTATAAGTAAAATAGAGCATAACACAGCATATACTTCAGGGTGTGGTTACTTTTATGGATGACACGTATTTGCCCAGTCTTGCCTGGTTTTCGGTGCACTTCTACATTGTGAAAGTGAAATGTAAAATGTCTGCATACAAATCACAGCCTCAAATACACAAACAGGTTAGTAACACTTAAGAGGAACAACTTTAACCTTATTTAACAAAGTTATCCTCAATTTAAATAAGACCTAAACTACTATCTTTAAAACATAAATGTTTAGAAGTCTGTAGTCATATCCCAAATAGCTAGATCTGGAACCGTATAACTCATGCTCATCGTGTCTCAGCGATCTGGATCTATAGAGCTGACGTGTGCACTCAGGCTCGTGTTGGCGTCTGTAGTCCTGGAGTAACAACAAAGTCATCAGAAGCTGCAGTGTTCAAGGGCGACGGGTTACGGAGCCATTACTCATTAATGAGCTCCTCTCCTCTGCTGAGTAACCCTCTCTTCATAACCCTGCAACCCCCCCACGCCCCTCTACTCTCTGCTTTTCCATTGTATCTCCCTCAGTCTCATCATTTATTTTCACATCCTCTCCTTCCCTAAGTCTTGTCATTACCCAGGCAGCTACTGTAAAAGTTTTGTTGGGGAGAACTTGTTTACTTGTGAGGTCCAGAAAAGGCCAGACAAAATAGTCTTCAGTGTTTTTATCTGGGAGAGACCCGTGGGGGCATCCAAATGCAGCAGTGAGCTGTAATTTGGAGACATCAGATCAGATTGTGTGTACTAGGAGCCTGAACAAGGCCACTGCACACAAATAAATGAGAAGGAGCCACCAGTGCCTAATGACTGCTGTCGTAGCACAACAGTAAACAGGATCAAAGAGGTTTCTTTGCAAAAAGAACCAACCTGACTGTAATTGGAGCAGGACATCATCTATGGAGTCATTCTGCTTTACTTCCATGCATCTAATGCCAATGTACTGCTTTATAAGTCCAGTGCCTACCCTACATTGTTCCTGCTTGATGAACCCAAAATACATTTAAAAAGTACTTGGGTTATATAATGCTGAAATCCTCCACTGAAAACAGTACTAATGAGATTCTCCAGCCATGCATGGCCCGACTCAGATCTTATTTAGAAGTGTAAATGATCCTTGACCTTTACTTAACTATGTATCACAGGCTAGCAGAGCTTTTGCCTTTTCCTGAACAAATCTGCCTCAGCTGTTTCAACTTTCCTTTATTACCTCCCCTACTTGGATTGAGATTGTTATCTTCAAGCGGACGGTCTCTTTTATTTATATTGAGGCCACTTGCTTGAGATTTTCCTTTTCCTTACATTAAATGAAACATACTTGAAAGGGTCCCTAGTATGCTTTCCCTTTCCTCTAGAATATCATATAGGTGTTTGTGCATGTAAATGGACAACAACATGTACAAAGGCTAAATTGTCTTTCCA